TCAGTTTAAGCAAAGGATTCCTCCACGAGAAAATGAATCAAGCATGAAATCCATTTTCAAGGACACGCCCTGCGCATGGGCCCGGTTACATTAACCCAAAACCCTCTCTTAAATGTTTCCTACAGGTCGTCTCTGAAACGGACTTGCTCAGATCTCCTCTCAAGCATGCGAATAAAAAAAATATGTTACACAGCCATTTGTCTAGACGGATCAAGCTCGCGAAATCGTTCTGCTAGAAAGAGATTCGTAAAAAGAGTACATGTTTTACGATATTTTGTTTCTTAATGTCAAGAATTCGGGAATTATAAATACCGTCACACTTAGTCCCTTAATTACTTAATTGGTATACTCACACAAAAATTAATAATCGCTGAAAACGTTTATCTTCTTTCTGAAGTTGAAGGAGCTTCGAAATGTCCCCTTTTTTTCCAATCAAAATATTGGGGTTTTTATCAGAAGGAAGGGTTTTTAGACTGAAAGACTGTTCCTTAGTGAGTGATTAACGATAACAATCGGTCCTATATAGGCTCCTTCGTGTAAAAGGCTTCTGCCTTTGCACCTTTTGGTAAAAAATATGTGATATGTGTTTTCCTTTAATTGGATGATGTTACAAAAATGACCCCTACCTTGCTTCACAAAATAGGCTCCTATAGAACAAAACTACTGGACCGAATCGGGCGACCTTGGCTTTACTTTTCTTCTAAAAAGATTTTTCAAGCATTCTTTGGTATAATGGTGTGAGTTTCGGGATAGTGGAAGTATGCCATTCCGGTTTTTTTTCCCACCACCCTGTACAGAAGGAGCAATGTATTATCCATCATTATTTTAACCCCCCTCCCCCCACTTTGTTTTAATATCCAAAGCATCCTATAATAAAGGAAACTTTAAATCCCACTTGGTACAGATATGCAATTGTGGAAATGACGAATGGATCTTGTTATAGCCTGGCCAATTGCAATCAAAGCTCCTATCAAAGACGATATACCCGCACTCGGTATTCTGTATACGGACACAGGCTATTTCCATGAGTATCGTCACGTTAATTGGACAAGAAATTCTGGTCAGGATCGCTTATAACGGATGCGTCAATTGGTACGGTCGTCTCTTGATGTCTTGCGACCAAAGAGGTTTCACGTACAGGAAAAGTAGACTCCATCACCTTTTTTGTTCTATAAAAAAGAGCAATGGAAAAGATACTAGTTTTACGAATTTATAAGACTATCGTGGGCATTATTGGCATCTTGGGCAACGGTCTCGTCTGTCTTGTCATTGGTAAAGTTTCATCGATGCAGACTCGCACCAACGCCTTCATCTTCCACCAAGCCGTGGTGGATGTCTTGGGCTCGACTATGCTTCTACTACAGAGTGAAGTTCCACTGCCCGAACCCCTACCCGACAGTGCCCAGGGGTACTTCATCTGCGTCATCTGGAACAGTAACTTTGTACTTTTTCTCCTGTTTGTAATTTCAACTTATAATCTGCTGTCGTTGACCATGGAGAGGTACTTCGCCATCGTTTATCCTTTTAAGTACCAAGCGGCGTTCGCTGCGCACCCACGGCTGAAAGTCGACCTAATCATCGCCGGCTGTTGGGTCCTCGGAGTCGCAATCAAGTCTTACGGTCTGGTGATATTCGAGTTTCCGAACGGCAAGTGTGTGGCGAGGGATATCCCAATCTCCCAGGTCATGGGGATCCTGACGGCCGTCCTGCAGTACGTGGTACCGGTGGCAGTGATGCTGTTCGCGTACATCCGTATCAGCGTGGAGCTCAAGAGAGGAGCGGCCCAGGTGGGACCGGTACCGGCACCGGCGGCCCTGGCTCCCGCTGCCGGTACATCCAACTCGGATACCTCTCGACCAGCACCGAATATGATGGAATCCCTCATGCAGGCCAGACGCAACACCTTCAAGACCCTACTGATCGTCTTCATCACGTTCTTGGTCTGCTGGACACCAAACCAGCTTCTGTTCTTCATGTTCACTGTCGGTTGGACGGTGCACGATAAGTGGTACTACCTTCTGTCTGTGGCGATGGTGGCCACCAACTGCTGCGTCAACCCGGTCATCTACGCCTTCAAGTACCGCCAGTTTCGCAACGGATTTTTGGAGATGGTCGGACGCGGAAAACGCAACCGCAATATGCCCAATAATGCGATCGCTTCACACCAAATTAGCCGCCAAATCCCAAACGAATGAAATCGAACATTGAAAACTCATTTATAATAGTTGCATGCTTCAAGTTTGATTTGTTTCATGCACTCATGATATCCCGAGGTATAGGTACTCATAGTAGAGTGAAAGGATTCTTGGTTTTTTGTTTTTTCGAAATGAATCTTGGACAGTTTTTGAATAGATGGGGGAAAGAATAATTATAAAGAAATCGAGAAATATGAGTACCTCGTCCACAGGTTTCTCATATTCGAAACGTTGAAAAACGGCGCCAAATAGTTCAGAAGGATTGACCTATCTGTTTGTGAACTCATCGGAAACTGTTTATTATTTTTTGAGATTAAGCTTTAACATCCAAATGTCCACTGCAAGTATCCGGTAAAAATTCCTTGATTGGAAGTTTGAAAGATTCGCATTTCTTCAGGTAAAATCGAAATCATGCCGCCTAGGCCTACTCATGTAAAAGTGTGAATAATAATCATACGTTATGTATATTTATGAACAACGGTTTCCAATAACTTGTACAGATATGTCGCACATAATTATCAGAATTTATCGTATTTGTTCACAGAGCCTTTAAAAAAAACCAAACCGCACTAATTGCCGACAAGAGGTGTAAACAAAAAGCTGTTTTATTTCTTATATTGTTATGGGGATGTCGAGTGCCTGGCAGAAGGGCATATGCGCGTATACGCCATTTTGCGCGAAACGCGTTATCACCAAGTTCCCAGCAAAAGGGCATTTCCAGAAAACTGCCTCTATTTTAAAGATATAGTCCATCATTTGTAATTTGTGCATTTTGTTCGTTTGAAGCAACAAAAGTGTTCAAAATCTAATGAAGGATACTGAACAACTACCTGATGAAGTTTCAGCTCAGCTTCAGCTGTATATTCCGAGAAAAACAGCATTCTAAGATCTCAATTTCAAATCAAAAGTTGCTGAATCATGTTTTGAATTGTTTTGAATTGCAGCTATACGCGATGTCGCGCACTGATCCGACGAATTATAGCAACCGTGCGCGCCTGTGCGTCGTGCCAATGCTTGCGCGCGCTGCGCCGAATAACAAAACGAACTACTAATTTAAATTTTCCTACGGTAGTCTTAAGACGCACCGTTGGAAAGGCCTTCTTTCGTTGATTACTTCAAAATGATAGCTTGCCAGAAAGCTTAATTTCACAGGGAGTTTAGTCCACATACTATCTTTCAACCAAGTATGTTTTTCAACAATAATACGCCAGTTACTTTTTTCGGATGGCTGCAAATGATGGACTATAGCTTTAATGAAATTTAAACATTTCCTTCGGAAATGAACACAAGTTGCTCCAAAAATTATGATTGAGACGTGTGACAAAAATGTGACATTAGTACGATTTATGATACGAGTAACATTGGATTCATAATACCCGTGGGGGAACATTGGAGCCTTTCCATGCAATTTTCCTAAAAGCGATTTTCGCGTCAGAACGCTCATAAGCAAGCCCTTCTTCCGGGCACCCGACGTATTTGTTGGTGGTATATACATTATTTCATTGTTTTTCAAAGGCCCGTCGGTCGCATCACGAACCGGCGTATCTCAATTTTTGGCCAAATTGAGTTTTTGTAATCAACGTTTTTATTTCATCAAAATGCTCATCCTTACAAAGTTTTATTCTGATCTGAGTTCTGATTAACTAAAAACACTTATTAGACTCTGCGGTTTATCTTTAAAAACTGAAATCATTAACCACGAAGCGACGTTTTACGATACGCCGCTTTACACGCTAATTTCCATAGTGCTATGACGTCACCAAGGAGCATCAACATGAAAAGTGTGCATTTAGAGTTGCACGAACCATTAAGCGCGTTGTATGAAATACGATAACCATGATAGAAATCTGTTTCAGGAAGTGACGTGTATCTTGGGAATCGAATTTCTTAAAAACTAAGCAACTCAGATGTAAACGGATTGCATACGATGAAGTTTAATCTATAATTTACTAGCAAAAACTAAAAAGCTTGAAATCTTACACAGGAAGTAAAAGGAATGAGCCTGCAAAAATATGACCAACTTGAAATTGTTTTTTCTCAAAACGCAAAAAAAAAAAAACTGGGTTACGTCGGTTCATGGTGCAACCGACATGCATATGCATGTATATCACAAGACAATAATAAAATGCACGTTCCTTTGTGTATAAATTGTGAACATGTACAAAATGTTTGGAGATAAATCATAGAAATGTGTGTATAATAATATTACTGTTTCAACAAATTATTCTTCAAAAACAATAACCTTCTTATTAAATGTCTCAAGGATAGCCAACTGAAAGTTGAGGTCAAAGTGGAAATCGTGAAATCTTGATGTGCACACGTGTAGTTGAAATGCCGAACAGTGGTTTTGTCATTTTTTTCCGGACTCAGTGGAAACTCCATAATGCTCGCCAAAAGAAATGTGAGGTTTATTTCGTAAACGAAGCATGTTTACGACAACTATCGTTTTTCTTTGTTATACTCATTTGGATGATTCAATCCACTTTGCGAGACAATTCTCCTGGTGCAGATTAGTATGGGAGTGGCGAGCATCATCTTGGTAGCCTGACCGATTCCACTCATGATAGCTCCTATCCCAACACGACGTACGAGTACTCTGTATTATGCATACGGAGACAGGCTATGCGCATAATATCTTAACGTTTATTGGACAAGAGCTACTCAGCAGGAATGCTTATAAAGGATGTGTCAACTGGTACGGTCGTATCTTGATGTCTTGCGATCAAAGAGGTTTCAAGTTTATGTAGATATAAACTTGTACACCCTTTTACTCAAATAGCTGCACACAATAGGCCTATTGCTGATATAGACATGGAAAAGATACTAGTTTTACGGATCTATAAGACTATCGTGGGCATTATTGGCATCTTAGGCAACGGTCTCGTCTGTCTCGTCATCGGTAAAGTCTCATCGATGCAGACTCGCACCAACGCCTTCATCTTTCACCAAGCCGTGGTGGATGTCTTGGGCTCGACTATGATTCTCCTACAGAGTGAAGTTCCGCTGCCCGAACCCCTACCCAACAGCGCCCAGGGGTACTTCATCTGCGTCTTCTGGAACAGTAACTTTGTACTTTTTCTCCTGTTTGTAATTTCAACTTTTAATCTGATGTCATTGACCATGAAGAGGTACTTTGCCATCGTTTATCCTTTCAAGTACCAAGCGGCGTTCACTGCGCACCCACGGCTGAAAGTCGGCTTGATCATTGCCGGCTGTTGGGTCCTCGGAGTCGCAATCAAGGCCTACGTTGCAGCGATCTTTGAGTTCTCCAACGGCGAGTGTGTGGCGAGGGATATCCCAATCTCCCAGGTCATGGGGATCCTGACGGCCGTCCTGCAGTACGTGGTACCGGTGGCAGTGATGTTGTTCGCGCACATCCGTATCAGCATGGAGCTCAAGAGAGGAGCGGCCCGGGTGGGACCGGCACCAGCACCGGCACCGGTGGCTGCGGCACCCGCTGCCGGTACATCCAACTCACACACCGCCCAGCCAGCACCGAATATGATGGAATCCCTCATGCAGGCTAGACGCAACACCTTCAAGACCCTACTGATCGTCTTCATCACGTTCTTGGTCTGCTGGACACCAAACCAGTTTCTGTTCTTCATGTTCAATGTCGGTTGGACGGTGCACGATAAGTGGTACTACCTTCTGTCTGTGGCGATGGTGGCCACCAACTGCTGCGTCAACCCGGTCATCTACGCCTTCAAGTACCGCCAGTTTCGCAACGGATTTTGGGAGATGGTCGGACGCGGAAAACGCAACCGCAATGCGATCGCTATTCACCAAATTAGCCGCCAGATACCAAACGAATGAAATCGAACACTGAACACTCATATAATAGTTTATTGCTTCAAGTTTGATTTATTTCATGCACTCACAAGTATTATGTATGATACACGGAATGATAACTAAGAGCTAGTAAAGATGACACAATGTAATACTCATAGTGGAGTGGCATACGCTTTCTTCGAAAAAAAAATCTTGGAAAGTTTGAAATAGATGACGGAAAGAATACAAAGGAGAGATATGTATACCTTCCCTATCTAATCACTTAATACAATCTAGAGTTTTCCCATGCTTGAGACGTTCAAGTCCGCACTAATTATTTCGGAAGGATTGGCCTATCTGTTTGTGAACTCGTCGAGAGCTGCTCATCATGTTTTGTAAAACTTATAAGGCCTGTTTCAGACGTCGTGCTTATGCCGCGTTGAATAGAAATAAAGTTGGACTTTCTTATTCGACACGGCACAAGCACGACGTTTGAAACCAATTTGGCTCGGCAGTTGATTTCGGCTCGGTAGAAGACTTTAGCTTGACAGTGTCTGCCGTACTTATCCATTTAGTACGGCAGTAGCACGGCGCGGTTTCAAACGTCGTGGTACTGCCGTGTCGGAAATAATTTCAATTCGAAGTTGGTCGGCTAACTTCGAATTGAAATTGTATTCAACACGGCAGTAGCACGACGTTTGAAACCGCGCGCCGTGCTACTGTGGTAAACATCGTTCATCATTAGGAATGTGCATGCCCGTAACGTGTGTACGAGTAAAGAAATAATCAACAAACAAACGCATCAACAAACCTGGCGACTAAGGCCGTGTCCGAAACGGGCTTCCAGAGCTACGGCTACGTCTATTGCCAGCGCGTCCCCGCGTATTTTCAATGGGCGCAGACCTAGACCTAGCTCTAGACAGCTGATTCGGATGCAGCCTTTACATAGATTTGTTTTTCAAGAATCAAATGGTGCACACCCGTAAATAGGCCTAAACCCATGTGCCAAGCTCATGAATAAAAGTTATACCCTCAAAATAATCAATATTAGAGAGTTCTGAGAGCAGTAAAATTGGGGAATTGAAGGGTAATGGCAATGAACCTCTGGCCCGGACTTGGAACTTCCAACTCTGAGCATTTTGGATGCAATTGGGCTCGAAAGTGGCGCTTTTTTTGCCATGTTGTGGAGGGATCGTTTTTCAACATGGCAACTTTTCCGCTTGGGAAAAATAGGGGTCGTCTTCTTTGGGTGAGAATTTCTCGAAAAATCAAAGATGACATGTTGATCATTATTTTTCTGTGCAGTTTAAATACCTGTGAGAGTTCTGAGTATTTTTAAAACAATTTTGAAGTATGGGCATTTAGCATTTGTGACTATGGGTATTTTAATGCAGGGGTGCATCCATAGGCAGATTAGGAATAAGCGTAACGTTCTCATCGGGCCTTGACAACCAAAGGACTACAATAAGGCACACCAGTATAACTTTCCTCCGGGAATAAGTACTTGATTAAGGAGTACCTGTTGACCTGCTCATTCGATTTTATTCGACACGGCATAAGCACGACGTCTGAAACAGGCCTAGCATTTACATCCAATGCAAATTTGCAGTCAACAAATCTTTCTATTGAAAGTTTAAAAGATTCGCATTTTCTTCAGTTTAAAGGCATCGTTTGCTTTTCGTTCATTTTGTTCGTTGTGAATTATAACACCACTCAAATTCAAAAAAAGAATGTCTAGGACCTAACCTGTTGAATTTAAGCTCAGTGGATATTACACTCTTCGAGAAAACAATGAAAAACCATGCACAATCTTTTGCTCACTATTCCGTGAATATCACTCTTTATTACAAAAAAGAAATCAGTCAATAGATTGATCCTTGGAAGTACAATTCTTTATTTCTTCTAAATGACTGCAAGCCAGACAGAATCATTTCATGGTATTTTAGTACCAGAACGATCTTTATCCAAGTAAGCTTTCTGATAATATTTTGGGTAAGGCAGTATGAATAATTATTGCATGTTCAATTCCATTAACTTGTACAGATATGTCGCACATATTAAAACTTTATTGTATTTGTCCACAGAGAAACTTTACAAAAATTTCAAACTTTATTGTTACCATTCAATATCTAAACAAATAAAAAGAGTATTTCTTACGGCTGAGACGTCCAAAATAAGAGAACAAATCTTATTAAAAAATGGTGGTTATCACAAAAATACTTCATTGTTTGCACGGCCATTGTACCATGCATACCCTAGACTGTATAAAATGAAATGTATGTTTCTTTCTTTCTATATACATTGTGAACGTGCATGTATAAAGGTTCGGAAATAAACCAGATGAATGTGTACAATAATTTTTTTCAACAAATTATTCTTTAAAACTACTTTCTTATATAGAATTTTTAAAGGAAAGTTTTAAACAAGCGGAAAGTTGAGGAAAAAGTCCACTGTTGACATCGCACGTGATTAATTTTTTTTTCAGACTGGATTATACATAGTACTCGCCAAAGGAAATGTAAGATTTAGTTTAGTAAAGAAGGCATGTTTTTTTAAAACAATATCTTTCAGATTATTCAATCCACTTTTACGAGACAATTCTGTCTCCTGGATTAGATTGGCTCCAAGCTTACTAGATTACTTCATCTTTATCTTTTATACCCCAACTCTCCCTGTATTCGATTAGCTGAATATTAATTTGTTGTAATCTCCGGTCTTATTGCCTACAATCCAATTAGAACATTGCACTGCTGTTTTTCTACAATTTATATTCTATTAGTTACCGGGGTAATTCTGTACGTATAAAGAGTCCCGGCGAATTGATCTTCCCTGGGGGAATCACTTTTTCCCTTATTAGGTACAGACTTCGTATAATTCGGGCATTTTAAACTTAATCAAACCCAAGTTCCCCCCCCCCTCCCCCACACACACCGTCCCTCTCTCTCCCTCTAAAATAAACAAAGGAACTGCATTTAATTTTCTAGAGAACCACGTCAGATTTTTGGCAAACCGACGTTAACATAAATAACATATAAATGTGATCAATGTATTGGGGAAAACAAGGAAGCCACGAGCGTTTCAAATTTAATCATGGCCGCTCCTGCAAATTTTATTTACTGAGGAATCTCATAAAACATCGAGTATTCGGACGGTTTCTGGCGGTATCAGGGCCTGGGAGTAGGCAGAACGGGTAGGGAGCCACAGTGACTAATGGGTTCATGTTTTCAGAAAAAAACAAAGGACTTTTGTCCTAATTCCAGTGCCAAAAAAAGGCTTTGAATGCATGCGTTCATCTTTAATATTGTGCACCTTAGTGCGTTCTTGCTTGAAGCCGATTTTCTTTTAATTAAATACACCGTTGTTGGTGTTCACTTCCATGTGGCGACTGTTTTCGTTCGAAGCTCACACGGGCGCCCTCATGCGATGGAATTATGTACAATGCCAGACAAGAAATTCTTAAATCAATGCCTGTCCAAAAAAGCGAGTGATTTATAGGCAGCAGTATTTCCTCCCGCGGTACTTTTCCCAGATGAAAAGTCAATTCGCTCTTTTCACGCTCCGCCATTGGGCATGCAGAGCCTCGATCTGGCAACTTTACACAATAAAAATAGCCGGTTCAGTGATCTGAACACCGACACGGGAATCACTGAACCGGCTATATTTATTGTGTAAAGTTGCCAGATCGAGGCTCTGCACGCCCATGGCGGAAGTGTGAAAAGAGCGAATAGCGCCCCCATAACATACACTGATTAACACAAGAGGGCGTCCTCTCTTATCATCCTGTACAAAACGTAACATGTAAAAACCGGGTCTGTTCCTAGTTTGGCTCAAAAGGGTTTTTTTTGCTGTCGTGGGGTAGCGAACGTGTGCTATATTGCCCAAGGGGGTTGTTAAACCTCATAACATCCACCTCCACCTCGTAGATCCGCCAATAAGGCCTAAACACTTCATTTGACAAGGCGGTTTTCTTCACATTCTGGGAAATATGAAATCCCCCGGTGTTGGAGTCCGCGTCCGATAACTGCCTTCTAGAGCCTCCCCCTGACCGTCCATCTCTCGGTTACCCTCGCCGTCTCTCCCGCGGGGGAACACGGCGTCCCCCTTGGCTATGGCCTGCAGGGACTGCCTCCTGGCCGCTGCCAGGAGTTTCTTGGCGTGCTCCAGCCTCGCGTTGTAGCTGCTCATGCACTCCCGATGGAAGTTGACCTCGCTCTTGAGGGAGTAGTTGTACCGGCCTCGCTGCGAGAAAACCTAGGTGAGAAGAAATAAAAACAATCTATTTATTTCACTTCACATGTATTGTTCTGTCCAGGGTTGCTCCACCACTTTTCATGTAACTGTTTGCCAGGCTGGTGGTCCTGAATCAATCTGTGATTTAGCAAGATTAGGCAAACCTAGTAAAGCTGGAGCCAGAGTGCGCACTATTCTATTCCTTAGCTTTCCTCTACCCTGCCAGGCACACAAGTGATAGTCAGTCAGTCAGTTAGTGAGTCAGTAAACGGAACAGGTGCATGGATGACACAGGCTGGCCCTGAGGCCAAAAAAATAAATCTTCAGTTTCTGTAAGGCCAAAAAAAAAAGTCTCCTGTTTCTGGTATGCGCGCGCGTCGCCGTAGCCATGCGCGTCGGCAAAATGAAAAAGTTTTTTTTCAATGAAAGATGATGTTTCAAAACCGCCAAACTCACTGGTTTGACTGGAATCCTGCTGCTGCACAATTTTAACGTGTTTTTAGATGGGGTTATGATCGAGAATAAGCTTTATGTGGCCTCTCTGGTCTCCCATAATATTTGCACTAAGTTTAGTCGGGCACCATTTGCAGTCATCAGCCGACATTTGAAGCAAAAAAAAACAGGTAAAAAAAAAAATCCGCGTCGCCGCACCACTTTTTGGGCAAGCTCCATACCAGAAACAGGAGACTTTTTTTTTTGGCCTAATGGAGCTTGCCCAAAAAGTGGTGCGACGACGCGGGTTTTTTCCCCCCAACTTTTTTTTTCTTCAAATGCCGGCTGATGTTGCAGATGACGCTTCGATCCCCTTAAAACCCAAACTATCCTTCACTGTGGAGCTTGAGGTGACCTCAGTCAAGGCTTGCATATTCTGCACGCACTTATGGTCTTGACCGACACAAACATGCTCTGGGAAATTTAGTCAAGAAAAAATCAGAGAAAAGGGTAACGCCATACAGCAACATCGATTTGTATGGCGATTCTACTCGTAGCCCATTATTATTTTGAGTTGAATGTTTCTATTTTGTTATCCACAAACGACTTTTACCTTTATCGTTCGAGATCATTTTGAACAAAACAATTCAGAAAAAGGGCCTGCATTTGTCCCAAAAGTCCTGAATTTGTGGGATTTCCACGGGTCTTGGTCCCTTTTACTTTCAATCTGAGTGATTTTGAATAATGTTTGATAATTTGAGTGATTTTCATTCTAAATGACAGGCTCTTGGTTTCACTGTTGGAAATGTAAAGAGAACACCAACCTTGAGCGTCTCTCGTTGAGAGGCATGATCCAGCTGCTCCAACCGCCCGTATCCCAGAGCGTGGGACCGCATGGCTGCCTTGTTGGCCTCCAAGTCGATCAACTCCCGTCGGAGCTGCTGCTTGTACCGGTCCACCCGCTGTTCGTTCAGCCGATAAGCCCGCTCGATGTGCCGCAGGACGATCTGCAGTCTGGCCCGCTCGTTGCTGTTCAGCTGGCCCGTACGGAGGTCCGTCACGGCGTACTCGGGCGCGTAGATGTCGTTTTCTTGCAACATTCTGCGGACTTGTTCCTTTTTTTCTAACTCACACTAAATACCGATTGGTAACTTTTTGGCGCAGTGTTGTCGCCCAAAACAGTATTTTCTTCGCAGTTTTGTAACTTCTCGTATCTGGTTTGAAATCAAAACTGATGTTGACGAAGTTTATCCAATGTTTTGTTGCCTGGGCAGACAGCTTGGCGCAACCTTTCAATCAAGAAGCGGTTTCTACAGGAATAATGTTTAGCAATCAAAGCGTCTGAGAATATTACGGCAATAAACAGTTATAGAAAACTGTACCTTCATTCGTCCGCTGTCGAGTGCCCCAAAAAGGTTGGTTGGAGTTTTATCAAGCTTGCTTTGGTTGAAGAATCATCAAACTTACTTTAATTTTGTTGTTGCTGTTTTTGTTAGATATTGCAGGTCTGGAAAGAGAGGCACCATGCCATATTTTGGTCTCTAAGCCAGAGTGCTAATCCAGGATCGTAGATCCTGCAGTGTAACAAAATAGTTTACCATCTCTTTCATCGTCGGTCAAGCTCTATTGTTTTGTTACCGACTTTTGGCTGTACAGCATCATTCTTTGACGTTCGAGATTCTTCTGCTTCTCCTCCAAAAACATCCTTGCGATATTGCTTCTTAACATGCGTCAGAGTATTTCGTTTGTCAGTGATGTCTCAGGAGAAATTCGCTTTGCAGATTCTGGATCGTCTGGCCGTTTTCACTGACTCATCCTTAAGACCCTTGATTACCATTTACTGCCGACCTCCTTCTGGTATACATTTTAAAGACAATTCTTTTTTTTTTCAAGTGCCGGACTGTTCAATGTTTACAAGATTGCTTCCCGACCAGCTTTGGCTGTATGCCAACCTCTCCATTCCATGCACTTTATAAATACCACGATGAGTCTATGTAACCACGAAACGCCACTAATTCTCGCGTTTATATTCTGACAGCGATCCGAAAGAGCAAAGACAAAGCCTGGACAATGCCTCGAGAACATTTACCTAAATGTTACCTAGAGTCGAGCTACACTACCAAACGCTACGGCGTGCTCCTGAGAAAAGTTTAGAGAAGCCCCTATACCCATTAGCAAATAAATGTCACCATGATTTCGTTTGTTTAGGACTGTTGTTGCCCGTCCATCCTCTGATTGTCACTGAATGTTCTATTTACCTGATATCTCATTAGCATCAAGAGGTTTTTGTCTACTTTAAGTGTTTCTTTGACTCGGTATGTAACCCACGCGTTAAATCTACTTTGAAGAGTTTGCACAAGTGGCTACAAAGAGTTTGCTGAGTTTGGAAGGACCCCTGGAATCCTGTACCTCTTTAAACAACTTCTTTACATGTATCTATTTCTGAAGCTTTTTCCTCGACTCCCTGCGGCCTCTGAATTTGCCATGAGATGTTTCGACTGCATGTATACTTGTATAAGTATCAGCAAACCTTACAATGATCGATCAGAGACTATCACGAAATACGGCCGCAGGCCATTTTGACACAAAATGTTTACTGACGCTTTGACATGGCGAAGAAGCAAAATTTGTTGAAAGTTGGCCTTGAAGACGAATTGCGGGAAGCAAAGGATATCCTGCTCTTTACAATTCAACCCTGATGTTAAAACAAAAGGCCATAAAAAAATTACACCTCAGCGCCAATGTTATCCACCATCGGCACTATTAGGCCTTTGTTCGAGGGTCAAAGTTTCGAAGAACAGCAAAAAAAGGCCAATCATCTTTATTTTCATTTCGAAGACCATCTCTATGACATTCACCTACATTCCGCTTTAAAAGTATAAGTTAAGATTTGTACAGATGTCAACCACGAATCTCCAAAGTATTATAATAAAGCAACGCTTCCGTTGATTGAAAAATTGAGATGTACCGTGTCTTTCCTATGCTCTCGTCAGAAAGCTACAGAGCGCCACCAACAACCCGTAAGTATATAACCAGTGAAACATTAGCCTTTTCATAAGGCCATCGGTGAGTCGTACATTTTACCACAACGCGAATAACCGAAGGCGAATTGAGCGGAGACTACAATGCCGAGTAACGACCTCATGACTTCATTACTATACTCGACCTGTGCTATACAGCCGCTCAATTCGCCATTCATTTAAATATCCAAATATAGAATGGCCTTGTAAAAAGGCTATAGTGGAATATGGCCATCAAGCATGAAAATTTGAAAATTATTTTCCCCACACGGGTAATTCATTTGAGAGATGGAGGGCCTTTTCACAGAGTTGTAGTCGAGTATATCACAAGTCCACCTCAAGCCCATCACAAGCCCATCACAAGTCCATCACAAGCCCATCACAAGTCCATCACAAGTCATCCATGCAGCTTCAAGTCAAGTCACGAGCTATATTTAAATTAGACAAAGCCATTCATTTTTATTCATTATCGCCGGTTACTTGTGACACTCATGAGTTCGCTTACGATTGACTAGTGACCGGACTAGTGATGTACTTATAGGGCTGACAGACCGCACTACAATCGACTACAACACTACCCAGACCACTCCTCTGCGTCCCAAACTGACAAACCCTTGTCTCGAAATTTGGGCGAAATTAGGCCGAATGCGCACCTTCATTCAAACAACCATTTTCTCTACGCAACCCGTTCAAAGAAAACATGAACACCTTTGCCCATCACCAAGTCATAACATCGTATTTAGTCCCACTTTATTTAGCTAGCCCTCAACAGTGTGTTGTGAAAACAGGCAGTTTACTTCCCGATCCCCCAAGGTTGAGTATCGATCGGGTATGGTGGTAATCGATACCCAAGCAGGGACTATTTTCAACCCAAATCATCCCCTCTATTCATCGCCCACTTAAAGCCACCGGCTGCACGTTAATTATGCACATCTTGCCATTGCCTTCGCAAAGTGTTCCAATTTCCCGTGGCCTAATGTCTCGATGCAAATTTAATGAAAGTCAGTCAAGAAGTGAAATCTCGGATCGTGCACTGGACAAACTGTTTTCACACTCTATCTAAACTTTTTTGGTCGGTAGGCCTACATAGGGTTAGATTTACAACAGAATATTTAATATCAACAGAGTTGATCGTAAAACAAGTGTAATTATCAACGTGGACTCGACCATCAATCTCAAGAGTATTAAGCATTTTTAACCTTCCAATTTTGAAAGAGAACTTAGAAATCGCGTTTAAAATTATGAAAATAAACTGATTAACATGAGAGGTTGATTGAAATAAAGTTTTATCAGTAACAATTAGCTTCTGAAACCTTTACCGAAAGTATCACAAGCAAAACCTAGAAATTTACCACAAAAATCCGTCTCTGAATTACCACACACATCAAAGCATCTGAAATGAGAAATATTCTCTCTTTTTCGGGCGGGGAGCTCGCAGACTGAAGTCCCCTCATTTGGTTTGTACGGCTATAACCCCACGAACTGCGTCGGTTGGATGGGATCTTTGAGCCCGAAATATATTAAGGGTCTTGTAATGCGATTATAGGATCTTGGAGCGCTGCCAGTATCCTCTTTTGTCCGCGTTTGTTTACCCTGAGCCTTCCTCCACATACTCAAGAACCTCTTCAGAATTTGTCACAAGCAACTGAATTCTACTAAAAATTTTTGTACATTTTTGAAGAAGTTGAGAGTTGGCCAAGTTTTGTCCATTTATGACTGCATTAGCCTAATGGTTAAATTCGTGGATTGTTTTTGGTTTACATTAACAATTCCTGGACGTTTCGCATTTTGGTGATTGACGTCAAGTCCTTTATTTATAGTCCTTGGAAAGACTTTAAGAAGATTTGCGAGAAGTTTGGAAACTTTTCCAAATCCTCTTATTGCTATAAAGCTCTTCTGAAAGGTGTTAAGGGCTTATCGGCATTTCTTTGTACGTACTTCTGTGCAGTGGTATGTTAGTCCACTTTCTTTAAGAGCTGAAAACTACCACTTTAGACTGCGCATACTAGCAGTGATTCCTTTTAACTTCACTTTCTCTTCGTTCACTATCAGAGGAATTTCAAATGGCCAAAACAGATTGTATGTTCCATTTTGTTATTGTGTCAAAGAAATTCAAACTGTGTTCTTTGGGACGAAAAGTTTTCAGAAAGATTTTCTCTGCAAATTTACTGTTTGCCAGTTCGATAATTGTTATGGTTTATTACGAAATGATGGGCCAACGGCCATTCTTGATTTTTGGCCATCACTGAACTACAAATAAGCATCTGTGGGACCTCCAGCCTCTTACGAAGCTTGACTTAAAATGACCAACTAATTACTCTCTGGATTCATCTTTGTTATTCTTTCTGGGTTATAATAATCCTTCTTCGAGGGAAGCTCGTGCCCTCTGCATATCGACGGGAGGATTATCCAAACCATCCCGCCGCAATCGATTGATGATACGCTACCGTAGTCATCACCGGCCCTTATTACGCTCAAAGGTAAGACTGATGGCCCTCACGAGATTATAAAAATCCATGACCGATTACCGGATAATCTCTCGAGCGCCGGTATCTATAGTCTGTCAACAAAACCGACGGGGGTGCTCCGGCCGGTTGCTTAGGGCGCTAATGATTGGGTTTGTGAGAGGGTGGAATATAACGGGCGGTCGTGCTGAGACAGTTATATTCAGTTGATGAACTCCGGGAGAGAAGACTTGCTGCGAGTTTTACGAAGTGAAGATCGTGTGCTGCTCGGGGAAGTATCAAGGAGCGTAGAAACAAGTGTTTGGAAAGCTGTCATCGTTTAATGAAAGCAGTGCTGGATGGTTTTTATAGAAGTTGAGGACATTCTTTCCAGATGAGAAATGGTGCACTCACTTTGGCAAACTCAGCAGCTTAAAGTTTGACGCGGTTTGAAGAGAGGAGCGAATCATATCAGATATCGCAATTTTAAGCACACTTTTTTTATCTGGAAAGTTACCCCTTTCAAGTGTGAGAACATGACTATGGTAATAGAACTGACAGAATTCGAGCATTTGGATTGAGGTTGCTGAAAATATCAGCCAGAAACATGTCCACGGCGCTTCTAGAGGCATCGTTTGCGGGTCAGTTCAACCAGTCGCACCCTTCAAAACTCCCCATGGACATCCGGGGACGAACTGCAACCAAAGAGACGAACCCGAAGAAGAGGAAAGAGAGGCGAGATGCCGGGGACCTGGTGGCCAAGAAACGGCTGGAGAACATCCGAAAGCATAGTGCCCACACCCGGCACCGGAACGGCATCATCAACGCAGCTGAGAAGAACCGGCTGATCAACACCGAGAAGCAGATGGACCGGTTGCAGAGGCGGGCTACAGCCAACATCTCCCGGTACCAGCATCAGTTGAGGCAGGAGCTGTACGAGATGGAGGCGTCCCGGCGCGCCCTGCGCCACCACTCCGTCAACGAAGTGTCCAGTGTGACCCACACGGACATGAAGGGACTGGCGAAGTTTGCTGCCCGCGGAAGGTATCTGTATTCAGTCCGGAACGAGACGCGGTCGCAGAAGGAGGAGATGGTGTCTTACAACGGCCGACTAGAGCAGGCAGCTAAGATGCTCAAGCCAGCCCGGAGACAGAGTGTGGTTGCTCTGGACAACGGGAGGAACATGGGTTCCAATCCGCCTGATGCGTACCACGACGTCGGTAGCAGGATCAGTATGGCCAGGCTGGACTACATGATCGAGGAAGATTCGGGAGACGAAAGCCTGGCTGATGAAACGGAACCGGCCACAGCTCCACAAGAGCAGAAACCTCTTGAGCAAAACACCTCATCTCCACCGCCTTTCGATATGGTGAAGTTCCGCTCAGAACTTGGCCCGGAGCTTCAAAAAGAACTCGACAATCTTGAAATAGACGACGGCCGAGGTGTGTGCCTCGTTCCGATTCACCCAAGCCCGAGCCAGGAGGTGCGTCCAATAGAGACTAACCATGCAGCCGATGTGAAGAAATCTTCACCAAAGCCACCGGCCAAACTGAAGCTGCCGCCGGTGCAGGTCAACCGACATTTCGTCTTGAAGAAATCGTCCAGCAAGCAGCTGCTCGCGTCAGTAGCAAAACCAAGACTGAGTACAGTGTCCGAGAACCAATGACTCAAATGAATGGAAAAAGGAAATACTCTCAGCATTGTCTATTTTGCATGCAAGTCAACCCAAACTGTAGCCATGCATTGTTTTCTACTGAAAGCAGTTACAATTGCACTTTATAGTTTGAGGTTTATTTGGAGGATAAAGATGGAGCATTGAGTATTCACAAAGTTCCAAATAATTATTTATTTAACTTGAACAATAATCATAGATGACGATCAAGATTTATTTTTAAAAAGATTTTAAAATGTATTAGTAAAGTTATCGTCCTAAAACGTTATTATAGAGAATATTACAGAGTAAAATATATTGTAGACTAAGAGAAAAAGGAAACCAAAATGAAACCAATTCACATAGGAATGTATGTGAATCGTGTTCGTTTTGCTAAAAGAACACTTAAGCTTTTTTGTGATCCGTGGACAGAACTTTGAAACGGTATTTTACGATGTTTAAAATTCCGTAACTTGAAAAGTCTACATGAGTGATTTGAATGATTCTGGTACTAACTGGGCTTTCATATCCTAGATTTTCTACGTGTTACATGCAGAACTTCATTTAAAAATAAACGGTCCTAGTGCCATTGTGGGTTCCATTTTTTTACTCACTCTTTATTGGATCATTTGCATTTATCCAAAAAGTAACCTGCCGAATTATTATCAGAAACCTTACTTGGATAAAAAAAAATCGTACTGGTACTAAACACCCTGTGAAAATATTCCTTTCGGCTCGCTGTCATTCAGAAGAAATCAAGAAATGTAAGTGACTTCCAACGATCAGTCAATTATGTGCAGACAAGTTAGTGGTTTTGAAATTGTTTCTACATAACTACATTGTCATTCATCCATATCATAACCAGTTTTGTTTAACTATTTGAATAGGTGCTAATGGGATTTCAAATAGACTTTAAATATCACTATATCAACCACATACGATACTAGTGCAAACAAGTGATAACTATGATGCGCTAAGTAAACAAATGGTTGAAGGCCATTTTTGAAAGGTTATTGCATAAGACAATGTATGGTTTGACAGATTCGTGTTGTAAGACTGTCAAGTTTTGTCAGTGTCGTCACTAATGGAAGGAAGGGAGACGGACCGCCGCTTAAGGCCCTGTGTCCCTCCTCAGCACTTCATTATCTTGATTATCATATTAAATCTCATTACAAACTTTCTTAATCAAAAATTTCATTGACAAATTCCTATAAAATTCTTGTGTAACAAACTTTCTTTTTACACTAACTTGTGTGCGGATAGCTGTAGCATTACCTACATTAATGAGAAAATGTGTCTTCTATTTTAAAGACACGTTGGAACATTGGTAAGAACTCGGAAACACACCTTCCGATCTAATGAGAAAGTCCTTGCTCAAAGTGAAGAAAGGGCTGGTCCCAAATAACCTTGGGAAATTATTCCACCAGAAATGGTTTTAATCCAGAGGAAACAATCACTGAAGGTGGTATAAAAATAAAGCGTGCTTTAAAGCCTGCTTTAGCAAAGGAGTCCAGTTACGAGACCAACACAATTGTTGCTTTCGTTTTCTGGTTTTTTTCAAAATGGGCCACTGAGCTGAACCTTCAACAGCTTGGTTGTTGAGCATCCTGCTAAAGATTTTTAGAAATTTTGTTGCTTCATCGAATAAAATGCACAGAGAAGAAATGAAACTGCGAACATTTAAACCTACAAAAACCGTTTATTAACCGATCTTTTTTGCTGTCATCTCAGAAGGTTCCTCGTTCGTACGCGACGTGATAAGGCATGTTCAATCATTTTTTCCCCAGCTCAATGTGTACCAACCCGTATAGCGTATTCTAATGAGGTAAACCTACTTCAGTGGGAGCACTCGAACCAAGGAAATGCTGCGGAAATGACGATCGATATCAGAAATGTTTTCCCATTTTTTTTTTACCACCGAGGATATATTTATGCACGTATTCCATAGCCTAAGGGGAAATACAGAGTTCTTGCACACTACTGGCCTTGCAAAGAGTACACGTTGGCTGCTCTGCGCATCTCGAATCATCCTCTTCGCGCAGCGAGTAAAACCAGTCCACACCGTCCCTGATCGATCGGTCTCGACCAAAATATTTACTTTTCTTTTCCGATCGATTCCCTGCTTTTAAATGCGTGATGCGATGGGCGCAGGTGAGGCTTTGGCTGCGAACTTTTACCGGGCGTGCCAGGGGGGAATAACGTGTGAATGAAAACAGTTCTCTCGAAGACTTTCATCGCATTTTATTTGAATTTGTTGCGATGTCAATTCAAGGGAAATATCTTCTTCTGTTTTTTAAACGTGCGCATTACAGTTATGATGTCCATTACAGTTTTGCTAAAAACACAAAACTGAAGTCAGCCAAAAAAGTTAAAACTTGCACCCATGCAAGAACAACTGCAGTCAGCTGAAGGGGCAAGTTTAATGTTGTCCAGTCGAATTGAACAATTTCTTTAAATTAAGAATGTAACACATTTTTTTCAAGTAAATCTCAAAGTCTATTGAAAGAAGGAAGAAACAAGAAAAAAAATAAACAATGCTGTCAAATACAAACAACAACAGATGCAGCACCTTGAAATCATCCCACTAGAAATATTGGATACCAAATTTAATAGCCTATATATTTGGTTGTATAAATAAAAAGAATATTTCAGAAGACACTGTCGTTATTTAAAAACAAAAATAAGTCTTGGCAAAGTCGTCTCGATATTTTAAACAATGATTTGCCAGACAAGAATTCCATATTTGCCAGCGCTCGTACAAAAAAATGCCCAATATATTATAACCATTATTATCTTCCGCAAAATTAATAACAACCCTCGTCAACTCCCAAAGGCGGAAACCCAGTCGTTATTGTGTCAGGTTTCCCCGCTTTAGCGATGATAGATTGGCTGTATAATAAAACTGGATACTGATAAATTATCACGCACTGAAACCAATTGAAACTGCGATTACATTCATCCTTCTACTGCCCTCACCTCCAGAGAGTAATTAAAATGATCGGTATGATATATCTGAGCTGAACGTGCTTCGTGCTGGTTTACTGGGAGCGAGCAGTATTGTTGTTTTTTGCCCACCCTGAGTTTGTTTTTACAAACCGTGTTTGAAACTGGTCCACTTTCATTAATAAAACCCTTCCACGTTATATTGTGTTTGTCTCAAAGGGCAACTTGAATGTCGTTGCGACGATTAATAATCTAAAAATAGATCCCTGTGAAAGCCAGAGGCTTTGCTAAGAGGTGCATGGGGGCAATCCCCACCCCCGTTCGCTCAAGGCCTGGCCCCCTCCTTTTGTTCCCCCGCCCATAATTCTGGGAAAGGCTGCAACGAGCTTTTTATTGCCAAGACCCAATGAGTGCCTACCCAGATTTTTTAGAAACGGAGGCCCCTGCAACATTGTAACTAGTTGTGCCACTGGAAAAGGCTTTCAAGAAAACCAAAACTCCAGTGAGAAGGGTATGGCGCATATAGCTCTATGGTATGGCGCCATCCCTCCAACCTCTCGCTATGAGACATTCTCGATGCATCCTTGAGCTTCTTATGAAACAGGTGCTATCATGTTATGTCCTCAAGAGGACTCTCCAATTCTAGTTCCTTCACCTTCTTTGGATCCTTTGCATGACAGTCATTTTTGAGATGCTTGCTTTGGTTCCACAGAGATACGCAAGATGAGTGGACCCAGTAGTCTTGTGCTTTCGATGTTATACAAATAATGAATGTTTGTAAGGCAATGGTAAAAAATAATTTCATGAGGTGACAGTTGGAAATGTAGTGGAATAGAACATTCCATCTGTCACCGAATGAAATTATTCTTTCCACTGCACGAATGTGAAACATTCATTATTTGTTTTACACAACACCTGAATAAATCCTTGTCATCTGATTGGTCAGAGCCGCCGAAAGCGTGACCGTGCAAAGGAACTTATATTACCGTGGAATGACACGTGATCTCAACGATCCACCAATCAAATGTCGGGGATTTTTTCCAGGCGTTGTATCATTCTTAATATAAGATAACAAAATCACCTCCAGGATGACTCCTGAATAGAAAGCAAAAGGTGTATACAAACATTTTGTGGCATTCCTGAAGTTTCCTCCTCGAATTTTCAGAATCCTGTTTTTCCTCATTATGTAATGATTTTTTTTTATCTCCATTCAAGCGAATTGTAAATACATTTTTTCTTTGTGAAAAAGCTTTTATTTTCTCTCTTTATAGTCTCCTCCTTCTGTGCCTTTTTTGTGGCTTTATTCCATTTAAAAAACATATGAAGAGGAATAAAGAACTCATGTTTATAAAAAAAATGTAATAGGCACAGGACTTCGTGGGAAAATTTACCGTCAAAGATAAAAATGGTGATAAGTCCGATATTTAGCAGCAACTCTCTTGGACGGGAAACACATGGTCCACAAAGCGCCCTCTTTCGGTCATAATATATCATCATGATTCCGTGGTGTTTTCACCACAACCCGGTCGCCGCTCACTGAAAGCGTCGGTCGCGATATTAATTGACGTCCGCTGAAATGGACGCCTGCCCTGAACAAAAAAAAAGATGAATAAACAAAGCGATCTGCAGCTTTGTGATTAGAAATCTGATGACATGCGATTCTGGCGATAGATTTACCTTGTTTTTATCACTGAGGATGACATATTGGCGGCGGAATGCCGCACTTTGGCCCCGTGCAGTACTCGAGTGCGCAACCCAGCTATGTCAGTCGTGGAATTTATTTATTTTTTCTCTTCACTGACAGTTATTGAGTAGCCGACCTGTCAGCAGCTCGTCGGCGTCATTGTAAGCGCCTCGGTCATACTGGGCAGAAGCATCATGACTGTATATAAATCAGTCATTAAGGAGAAGAGAATTTGAAAATGCCTCCTCTGACTAATGTGTGATGTTCTTCATTATTTTCAGTGACGCACATGTGAAACAAAGGGCGGGACCAGACGCCCCTAGCCACGAGGCCTATATGCTTTCAACCCCTTCCTTGTCTGCCGCTTAGAATTTGCAGAAGAAAAAGATTAACATTGTTTGAAAGGCACTATAACCCTATAACACCACCCCTCCCCCTCCCCCTCCCCCTCCCCCTCCCCCTCCCCCTCCCCCTCCCCCTCCCCCTCCCCCTCCCCCTCCCCCTCCCCCTCCCCTCCCCCCCCCCCTCCCCCTCCCCCTCCCCCTCCCCCCCTCCCCCTCCCCCTCCCCCTCCCCCTCCCCCTCCCCCTCCCCCCCCCTCCCCCTCCCCCTCCCCCTCCCCCTCCCCCTCCCCCTCCCCCTTTTTCTGTAAATGCTTTTGAGTCCTCAAAGTTTATTCAAAAACATTGTATATCCTATAAATACATTTTGGTCTCTTATTTAAGTTTCACTTTTCACCCAATGACCACCACAAAATTATTTCATAAATTTTCATCTTTGTTCGAGTACACCGAGTACACCGAGTTCCACTAGTCCACATTTATTTTAGATGTTCGGAAGTGAGAGGTCAATTTTTGGCGCGATATTTCTCTTTCACGTCAGGCGATTTTTCAGTCTCCATAAATTGAGATGCTAGTAACAATTTTACAAAAGTCCTTTTTCGAGGGTGATTTTTCCAAGAAATCAATGTACCCAAAATACTTGCAAATTTTAGTATTTTATGCACGTTAATTTTCCTATTCGAGGGTTCCGGAAGCGCGCCACCAGGGGTGAACATTCAGGCTCTATTGTAAAATTTACCTGGGATTCGGATTAAAGTTTTTAAAAGATACAAAGACCGACAAACAGATATGCCGACTTTTGACAAATCTTATGAATGAGACAGGCGAATATAAAAATCCACATCAGAACCAGCGAAACATGCCCATACACTTTTAAAAAATATGGCCGGGCATGGGAAAACATGCTGTCGAACTTAAAGAATTTTTTTTTTTTTTTTTTTGTAAACTATACTTCACATTTCGTTTTTATTACTTACTTTACTTCACCTGGATAACACTTGCACATCTTATTAAAGTTGCGTTCCCCGTACCCTTCAACAAATTTGATTTTTTTTCCCCATTAATACATTTTCAACTTGTACGTTCCAACTCAAACGCCTCCCTTTTCCCTTTCTTTTTTGACGTCTGAAAAGGAGGTTTTTGTTTTTGGCACAAACAGATCCGCTTTGCGAGCAAACTGGCTCCCGATCCATACATTATCGAGACTGATTGTGGGGCGGGAACCAGCCTTCCCCGCGAGAACGAAATTATTGTCTGGCAGCAATTATTCGAAATTGTAAATTAATAATTCAACAACTAATCAGGGGCCGATTTTGTATCCGTCGATGTCTCATTCAACTTTAATGAATCAGCTAATTTATGTATCATTTTGGCTGTTGAAGCCCCTGCATGCCAAACAATACCGAACACATCAATAAACCATGAACGTCCCCTCCCTGATATGTTGGCGTTCCCAAACCAATGGGAACAAAACATATTTTCAAATCCTCCACTTAAAAAAAAGGCTTCCCCTACGCCATATTGTCGACCAGGAAAGACTCAAATTTACATAATGTAAGGTGAACTGTTCGTCCAGGTCACAACTTCAAGTCGCTTGTCGATGTAAATTACCCAGTTGTATTTCGACTCCTGACATTTTCGAGGCGCGTCCCGCATCGTCTTCATTTTTCTCTCCATATCCCAAGAGCACAGACACCACAGCTCCATCCAGGTCGAGCTAACTTAATTTATTTCGTCGAAATCTTGAAATGAAGCACAAGCGCAATGCGGATACCAACATCGTAGCAACAATATATTCCCTTTGTTATTATTGGTATCGATGTACGCACGATTTATTACTAATAAATTACTGGTAGTACAGCTGTTAACATTGGACGGAATTGTGGTACGTGAGGTTTACCCGCATTACATGTACGTGGAACGAATGGTGAAAGAAACCATGCGGTGATGTTTGGCATTTTTGAAGATGATCAGTCATCATTCATAATGTATGTTCGTGCAATACATGCATAATATTCCCATTCAAAGGAGTTGGGCTGGCTGGCTACACAGATAGAAGCACAGACGTATGCTCATTGTGAGATGGAAAAATAGTGCACTGGGACGAGTAGGCTGAAGTGCAGTTATGTGTTGCTTTCAGTTATTATTTGATCAAAGTTGATTATTGACGGACGTACGATCGAGCACCGAGAAAACGTGCACACGCACGAGTATTTCGTTTTGGAGTTGCATTGCCACAGTGCTGAAGTGGGGTAAAACGAAATAAATTGTTCTGTACCGGTGCGTTCGGTCGGGAGAAGCTCGTTTTGCGTGTCTCGTTACATTTGGGGAGTCAAAATCGACAGACGTTCGTGAGGCTCCTGTTTCGATCTAATGCTAAGTGTTACGGTGGACAGGGAAACCTAATAGCGTTGTACCAGTGCGTTTGGAGACACTTCATAGGCCGTCCGTGAGATTCAGTCTCGTCTGCTCGTTTTTTAGTGTTGGCCTTTTGGGATTGTCTTCTTGCAGCAGGTGCATGTCAGGCGTAGCCATGAATGCATCAAGTGAACAACGCACGGATTGTACCCCGGAGCACGCCCAACTTGTCTTGACGAGTGACAACATCTCGTCCTACACGTACAGTTCAGGGGACACCACCGTGATTTGCGTTGTTATGCCCATCATACTCGCCATCGGTGTGCTTGGAAATGGCACGTTTCTGTTCGTCGTTGCTCGTGTGAACTGGATGCGACAGGTGTCGACAAACATCTACCTGGCGTGTCTAGCACTGGTCGACATCACCTTCATCGCTATGGCTGTCGGGGGAAAGTTGTCGCGTTTCCTGGCCTCACCCATTGTCACGGATGAGTCCCTCCTTGGAGTCCCGGGATGCGTGCTCCTATACTTCGTCTCGGATCTGTGTTTTTACGTTTCGTTGTTCCTGATCACGCTCGTCTCACTCGGGAGATACTCCGCCGTGTGCCAGCCCTTTGCCTTCCGCAGCAGCTCCGAGGGAAGGAAAGGGGTGATGTCTCGAATCGCCTGGTGTTGGGGCATCAGTGCCGCAGCTGCCTGCATCCTTATCCCGGACAGATTGGTCTGGGAGGAGACCTGCATCACCTTGTCACCACCCGACGAGTTCCACCACCTGCCCCAAGTCATAGGCAGCTGCACGTCGGTGGTCGAATGGTACTTCAACTTCTCCAACTTCGTTCAGGTGGCGCCGTTCTTCACGACAATGTTTGTCAACTTCACCCTCTACGCCCTGATAATCAGAAAACTCCGGCAGCAAGCCGAAATGCGCCAGGGACTGAGCAACGAGACTGCTTTAGAACAAGCCCAAGTCAGAGACAATATAACACGGATGCTTATCGTCAATGGGACCTCGTACTTTGTCTTCTTGATGCCATTCGAGGCACTGGCGCTCGGAGTGACCATCAAGAGCCTCAGCGGAACTCCATCACTTCTAACCAAAGACCAGTTCTCGCTTGCCCTCAACATTTGCAGGTGCTTACTATACACAAATTCAGCCGTCAACCCATTCATTTATACTTTAATGAGCCCGGCCTACAGACGCGCATTCGCTGATGCACTGTGCCCCGCGAGCACGAGTCAAGGAGCTTCGGTTCAAGACCTCATTGGAATGTCAAACATAAACACAAAAGCCAGACGAGACAGTGAAAGGCGGCAGCATTAAGTGCAAACACACGTTTTAATAGGTGAACTGATTGTTTCTAAGGAAATTTTGAGTGTTCTAAAGTAGGCATGAGTACTTAAAACATAAGTTTCGACGCTAAACAAAATGTTGTCCTTTTTAAGCTCTGGCAGGAGCTTCTACATGTCACTTGCTGGTAGGTCTGTCTGTCTGTCTGACTGTCCCGAAAATTGACGCATTTTTGGTGTCGCATTTTCAGCTCTGGCAGAGATCATCATTTCATCGATTTCATGCAAAACTTCTTTCAAAACGGCTAGACCTTATTGTGCACTCGCACTTACGTTGTACAACATCTTCCCTGAACAAGGTGGACGCCATATTTGTGGACGGCATCCACAAGGAGAAAATGTCCCCAAAGGTGGGCGGGGTGCGATTTGTAAGCTTCTATATGTCACTTGGTGGTCGGTCGGTCAGTCGGATGGTCTGTCTGTTTGTCCCGAAAATTGACCAAAAGTTTGGTGTTCCATAATGTGCCATCGGCGTCGCATTTTCCGCCAGAGCTCATTGTGCACTCGCACTTGTTTTCCTATGCCGTGTTTAACATTTGACTCAGCATTGCGATTAAGAAAGAAAAACAAATCTTATTTTCAGGCACCTGGAGACAAATCCGGGCATGTGATCACTGTACACACACGAGGCGCCCTTCAATGGAGAAACCAATGTCCAAGCTATTGTACAAACCAACTTCACCGTGACGGATTATCTTAACAATAGCTTGAGCACGATGCTTTCGCCATTGACGGGGGCCTTCGTGATAGAAGTGATACTGATCCGGATTGATACTGTATGAATATCAAAGCTTAGCAACACGATTTAGAAGAAAAAAATCGGGCACAAGCACTTGATTTACTAACCAATTACTTTGTATATAATGACTGAAATGTCTGACATTCAAAGCACTAAGAATGCATGTTGTAATTTATTAACCATTTTGATGTTATGATCACTTGATGCTAACTTTCAACCAACTAAAAAGCATTCCAGCCTGTACTGCAATTGTATCGCGTGAAATTTATGGGTGGTTTTATCAAATAAATTGATGTTCACTGAATATTAAGCAAAGCACGTCAAAGATGCTCGGGTGGCTGTTTTGCTTGTCTTATTACCGACATACATAACGCCGCAGGTGTGGTGATTTTGTCATACGCTCGCAACCTGTATCTGCGTCTTTCATTAAGTTTGGTATTAAGAGCCAGAATCAAGTTTCAGCAATAGCCGTCGGGCCGGGGACTCGGCTAGATCCCTACGGATTGTCAGAGGTACCGGGTTTCTTGTATTTGCCAAATACAGATTCTCAATTATCTCTAGAATGCATCCTACGTCGACCAGGATTACTTCTAACACTCTTATTACAAGAACGTATATGTGTCAGTTATTGGTTTTTAGACCGACCCATATATATTACTGATATTAATTAGATTCTTGAATTTAAACACATGATTACATAAGTTATCTTGAGCCGTACGAAAAGGACACCCATTTCATTAAAGTGTGTTTTTTACACACACACAAATAAGCAAAAGAATATAGGTTTTCCGTTTTATTTTAACATTAACATCATCCAAATTCTAGGGAAGGATGCTTTAATTTGATTCGAGAACGTCGTTGGGCTCCATTGTTAATACCGATTTCGAATGATTATTGTAGATTTCATATTTGATGCAAAGTAATTCGCGAATGTCACATTCTGATTGGTCGTGGCTTATCCAAAAAAATATATCTTTCGGTTAAATCCCCCGGTCATTCAATTTCGGCAAGCTGGATCGTAACGGTCTTAGTCCAATCTCTTTGACTTTTTTTTTAATGACTGTCTTTGAGTGGATTTTGTAAATAATTTTGACTTTTCTTTCTTTATTCAGTTTTTGTAAAAAAAAAAGGTAATCTAGAATAGTCGGCGCCTCTAACTCTGTAAGCAGAGGATCACTGAATCGAGCGGAACAAGAATGACTCATTTGCTCTGATTTTCTAGTTCATTTAAATAAAGGGCAAAGGAGTCATGATGTTTTTCGCTAATGGAGTTCCTTTCACAGAAATGAATAGCGTAATCACGCATCATGGACATTAAAAGAGCTTCGAACCACCATTAATAATATACGTGTAAAGGTACCACTATAAAGTATATGTACGACCTGAATACGAATGACCGAAGCGCGAAAACGATTGAAAAACTACGAATTTGCTTTTTCAATTCAACGCCAATGTCCAGATGAGACGAATTTTTCGAAACTGGGACGAATCACAATTCTACGGTAACGAATAAAATGTATTGGTTTTGATTCGAAATTGGAATGAATATTGGAGACCAACGAGCTTCTGGAACGAAATTAAAGTATCTTTAAAACCAAATTATTTTGAAGAATAAAATCGGACAGATTCAAATAAACAGGCTGCGGCTAGTACTTGCAAACGCTTCATCTATAATTTATGCCTGGTATTAAACCAAACGGAAACGCAGCGCATCATATTTCACGCGAATAATACCTTCCAGTCTTGCGTCGGAACTAATCTCCCAACTGAAGACAAATTAAAAATTGCCAATTAGTCTGTGTGACTCAAACTGATGTGCAAGTCGCCAGAGAGCATTTGTTTTGCAAACGAAAATTAAGGTCTTCCTTATCTGCTTCTGGCTTAATGGAAGATGAGTCGTCTGGAAGGGGACAACCCTATATCGTGTTAATGTCATGGCAACAAAAAGTGCAAGTCTTAAAAGATAATATTGTAATATTTTAAGTACAAAACGGAGACTGAGGGATGCCAAACTTTATTAAATGTCGACTGATGGTCTAGTCGCCGATAGATGTTAATAATGTGCTGCTTGAATGTCAGTACTGATTGCGCGACGGGCTCTCAACATTGAGGGATAGAATTTCTACCAATATTAGACATTCCATCTGCACAAGACATCTCTGTACGTCTCTTGTTCTACTTTTGAATTCCCATAATAAACCATTTTTCCATTCCAACTGCTTATAATATTATGAGTATGAAAGACGATTGACGCTTTTCAGCTCGGGATAAAAAAAAGCGCAAGTCTGCGGGGGTGGGATCAAAGTTGACCAAATTATACAATCGGTAAACATCCACATAATCAATAAAAAGGCAAAACTGTAGTTTACAATAATGATGAAGCATAAAATACTTTAAAACATAATACAACCAATTGAAATTTTGTAACGATTGAGAAAATCTTGTTGTGCACTCCTTCCTCAGGTTTGAAAAATGATCTTACTTTTTTGTTATGTCATTATTAAGAGAGAATAAGAAGTGCGTAATAACATTCATTTTCCTGATCGTCTGTCAGGGATTATTCTTTTTGAAATGAGGTAGATCCAAAAAGATGGCGCTATTTGGCTTGGTTGTTACATAGGTCATATTGTTATGGGTATTAACGACACCTGTAATGACACAATTTTCTGAGGATAAACTGCAACATCACGTTTAAAATAAGCCCTTCAACAATTTCAAAAATTAAAGATTGTATAAAAAGAAAATGTTATTTAGGCCTACTTCAGTACTTTAGATTTAAACTTATTTCAGTAAACTTAATAGATTCACATTTGTTTCCACCCTCATAATGGCGTCATTACAGCGCCCTCAAAGGTCAAATATAATGGTATGTTTGTCATAGACTGGTTCCCGCTCCCACAATATGGGGACCGGTAGCTACATGTATACGGTTCCCATTTTAAAGCCATTGATTGGATCGCATGTGCGTGTGCGCAGTATGATTTCTTTATATTTTGGAAAATGATGTTTACAGCATTACGAATGGATGACAGTTGAACACGTGGCTTTCAAAAAACTGACTCTTACCATAACCGGTAGGCAAACTCGCCACAGTGTCTGCACGAAGGCGACAAGCATTTCAACTGCATAGGTTTCAAATACAGGGTACTTTTCAGGGACCGGGAATCAGATCTAGTTGCATTATGGGATATCTTCCTTGTCCTACATGTAATTTGCATACATTATTAGGAAATCCTCCTAATGTATTCCTTAACTATTGCCCACTTGTCCCGACATTCGAAGTGCGAAGGACAATGCGGAGAGACCGGGAACCAGGATTTGCCATTCCGAATGGAAGGGCGTTTTTTTTTGGTTGGGATAAAATTTGAGTAAATACAGATAAAAAAGACCCATCCTACTCATTTCCATCATATCTTAAAAATGCTCATCACTTCTTGGGTTTGGAATTTTTGGTGACTGCGAAGTCCGTGGAGGGATGGCCGAGCCCCGCCGCGGACAGTGCCCTGACGTCGACCCGGTATCGCGTGCCTGGAGTCAATCGCTCGATCGTGAAACCTTTCTCCGACGCGCTGTTAATGAAAATTGTCCTGGTGACTGACAGTGGATCGTCGTTTTCATTCACTGTAATAAAGAGAGATGTATTAACCGTTAACAAGTGTTACTGGTACGTCTGTTAAATATTATCTCATTTCACTTTCGCATACCAATCTATTAACTAGTTTGGAATATCCCGATGATAAGCAACGAATAGCATATGTTGGTGTGCAAATATGTACCAAGCCCGCGGATTACAATATTTCGTTGATGTGCCAACGAAGTGCGTGAGTCATACAACGCCAGAGCGCCACGAGAGTTACAGGACTTTTTTTTACAAATCGTGCCCGATGAAAATTGATATATGCTTTCAGCATGTCAGCCAAAGTAAAGCCTTATTAATCTTTCTTAAGATATCAAACTGAAAAGTAGAGTATGGTCTTTCATCAACTGCAAATCTGTTTTCGAACCATGTTCATTCATGTCTCTCTCGAAGGTGGACTCAAGGGACGGTTGGATGGCTAACTACACGCCCCCCCCCCCGGCCAAAGTAATTTTTGGACCTAATTTTTGTTCCCTGTATAATGTCAATACTCAATCTTGTATATCTTGATTCATTGCTTCTTGTCCTGATCCTCTTATCAGTAGACTGCTATACGTGCTTCATTTATCCCACTTTAAAAATAAGTTGGACTTCAACCCCAACTCCCTTGCGCCCCCCTGCTCCTCCCCGCTTCTTCCCTCAAGCAATCACTGCTAGACGGTGACATGATCCCATAGACAAGGTTCAAGATCTATGGCCTTTAAGCTTAAGGCGCCATTGCCAATCAATTTCACCCAGTTCGAGTCTACAACAACCCGACTGATCCGATTGTTCCTGCGATACATCGAGAGGTCCGTTCCTAGACATCGGCTCATCGTTCATTCGTCAGTCAAAAAAAAGAAGAAGAAAGCAATGGTTTGTAATGCATTCGCATATTAATTGCTTCATTGGTACGTACAGGTCCGGAAATAAGACTGGAGGTTGGCATAGCGTCTTCAATTTAAGTCAACATTCTGGTACAATATTAGTTGGTGCCGGGGGCTATTGAGGTTGACTAAGCGAGCAATTGATAAGGAAGGGTGGGGGTTTAGCAGTCTTATTCCGCGTTGACGAATTCTGATTAGATTTTCATTTGGTGCTTAATTAATAAAGATCGAATATTTAAATCGTAACGGACAAAGCTGTTTGTCCTTTTGGTTTAATAAATCAGGTGCTTGACTTTGCATCAGAAGTATGATTTGCAAAGGGGGTCGTTTTTAGCAGCCATATACAGATTATAAAAAGAAATTCCAAACATAGCCGCATTGATGGCGAACAGCTGTCCTAGAAGGTTCATAATCTCTAAAGACACATGACCGTTTTGACCTGTTTTGCCAATTTGTTGTTATTCTTTGATGAAAAGCCACGGTGATTGAAATCTCGACCCAGATCACAAGATGCGTCGGCCTCGTCAGTCATCATGCAGTCACTCGCAAGCATCTGTAAACACTGAGTCTGTGAGCGAGCCTCATCGCTGTGTAACTGTGCGCGTGCGCTTTTGTTCGCCACACAATAATCAGTTCTATCAATCAACCAGTTTCCGATTCCAAGACGTTTCCCAATTAATGCTTAATTTAGCTCGGAAGCAGCGAACGTTTCCAGAATGCGAATGAAATGCCAGGCACGAATCTTTCCCTTGATGAGATGTGCAGCCAACCTCCTCATTTCGATATTTATTTTTGTGCTGGTCCCTGAGGGCCGCGCCAACCTAATGCCTCTTTGCAGGTATCTCACTGACCGACCGACTGACCGACCGACCGACCGATAGAAGAGGCATCGGCGTCGTCAGTCATCATGCAGTCACTCACAAGCATCTGTAAACACACACAAACTGGAATTTGCATCCTTGTGGAGACATTCCTTTGTTCTCGTGTAGGGCCTACTCTAAAGTTTTCGAGTTTGAAAGTGTAGTTTAAGAATGCTCTTATTGTAACCAGAATTCATTTCCTTGGATGAAATTTGGACTTAATATCCCTTTTCTAAACCTCTTCCATTTGCGACGAATCAACATAGCTTGGAAATTCCTAGTTTTTGAGTAAAATCCATATATCTACTTCGTGAAAATCTTGTGGAGACGTATTCATCTACAGAAATAGCCCTGTGGAGACGTATACAATAATCAGTTCTATCAATCAACCGGTTTCCGATTCCAAGACGTTTCCCCATTAATGCTTATTTAGCTCGGAAGCAGCGAACGTTTCCAGAATGCGAATGAAAAATGCCAGGCACGAATGTTTCCATTGATGGGATGTGTAGCCAACCTCCTCATTTTGATATTTATTTTTGTGCTGGTCCATCAGGGCCAGTTTAATGCCGCTTTCCACGTATCTCACTTACCGACTGACTGACTGACTGACTCCCGCAACTTCACTTGTGCCTTTATTTTTTTTTTGCAGGTTAACAGAGCCGTGGGAAGTGTGGCCTAGTGGTTAGGGTTTGTGACTCATAAATGAGGGCCATGGGTTCGAATCCAGACGCTTCACCCCCACTTGCTTCTCTTCACCCAGGAGTATAAATTGGTACCGGCATTAGCTGGGGAGTAACCTGCGATGGACTGGCATCCCATCCAGGGGGAGTAGAAATGTTCTCAATCGTTTCATGCTACTAAAACCGGAGATAAATGCCAGCCTGATGGGCCACATTGGCTCGTGACAGACTTAATAAAAAAGCCGGACAGGCATATTGTATAGGATTTAGGCTACCCCATTATGCATTGTGCACATCAGATGTATGAAAAGACTTCCAGTGAATATATTTATTCTGAACCATTTGATTGGAATAATTGTGTGCACTCTGGTACTAGTTTTACTAGCCGTTCCATGTCTTGTTTAATTACACAAACTTCAAGTGCTTGAGGTCGTTGTCCAACCATGTCGTTCAGAGCTACGACCACTACGTCTATTATCAACACGTACTCACGTTATTGTAATTACCAGAGACGTTTGGAAAAAGCTCAGGACGCCGAAAAAGGCGTGGACGCAGCCTTAGAACGTTGCAAAGATTTGAGGACGTTCATTTACATTGACTGCTATTTCATGTTCAGCCATTTGAAAGATTCAGTTCAATACATAGCTACATGTTAATTTAACGGTACTTTCTGAAGCGACACATCACGCAGTCATGGGCGACGCCAGTATTTTTTCTAGAGGGGGGAGCAAATTTTCCCGATGGATTATTTGTTTTCGAGGGTGAGCACGGACATTTTCCCCCCTCCCCACCCATTAAATTAACAATATGATTTCGCGCCTCTTCTTCTTTGGTTTCCTTTTTTCTTTGGTTTCTTTTTTTTGCTTGTGCCCCCCCCCCCCCCCCGCGACGCATATGCACGCAGTACGCTATATCCAAGAGAAGTTGTTTACCAGAGGGCCTTAACATTTGGGCTTATTTTTTTACTCTTGTGGGCCGAAAGGTTTAGATGTTTTTGACCGAAAAGGTATTTATGAATGGGTGCTTGGTAGGTATTAAACACTATATTTAAGACCGGTTGACTCGGGATGCTGGTAATTACCTGAGCGAAAGATAATAATCAGCATCCAGACTCCAACTGGTCTTAAAATAGAGTGTTTAATACCTCGCAATCACACACGTATTTCCTTTTAACCGTCCAAACTAGACATTAAATATTCATTAAACCACCTGCTGGCCTTCTTGCAATGTATCAATTTATGCTGCTCATACCCGAGTCCGGAAATGCAATTTCGTGGTAATAATGAACCTTAGCAATGCACTACTGTTACTAGGTTGGAAATGACACACTTTTAAGTGATATCACATCCTCGATCTCTTTACAATGGCTATAGTACACCAATACACACGCGGTACAATTTCAGAATCATGCAGCTCTTTTTTCTATTTCGATTTCTATGGTCTGTATTTTAGGCCAAAACAAAGTCTCCGGTTTCTGGTATCCGCGCGCGTCGCCGTAGCCATGCGCGTCGGCAAAATAAAAAGGGTTTTTTTTTCAAAACCGCCAAACTCACTGGTTTGACTGGAATCCTGCTGCTGCACAATTTAAACGTGTTTCAGATTGGGTTATGGTCGATAATAAGCTTCATGTGGCCTCTCTGGACTCCCATATATTTGCACTAATTTAGTCGGGCACCATTTGCAGTCATCAGCCGACATTTGAAGCAAAACAAATCAGGTAAAAAAAAAAAAAAGCCCACTTTTTGGGCAAGCTCCATACCAGAAACTGGAGACTTTTTGGGGCTTTAGTCTGAGGATCAGACATTTAGGGAGGCCTCTGGTTGAACGTCTGAGCATGTAAATTGTGTGCGACCCCGCGCGCCAGCCAATCGGAGTGGTCTTTAGAGGCCGTGACATCATTTCGATCAGAAATGCGGACTAAGCTGTTGATTGGTCAATTTGGACGTCATTTTTTTGTAATACAACTACAGGTTACCGAAGACCCGATAGAAGGCACCAGCTGAATGGTCAGAATCTCGAGGTCAATACGCGGTCTTATTTTGCACAATTAATCGCCGCATCTGCTCGCATATCATAGACCCTTGCTGTGCAAGGGGATATTCCATAGACTACTTGTATATGAGCAAGCTAATGGGATTATATTTTTATTACTTTAAAGTTGGACAAAGAAATTGACTAGAGCGGGATTTGAATCCTGCCGTTCCGGCGCTCTACCAACTGAGCTATCCAGCCCTATGTTGGTGGTTCCCCGCTTGGTTCGAAGAGGCGCTATAATCAAGAGCCAAAGAAATATTATTTTTATTATACATTTGAAGACACCAATAAATAATGATAACCGAGAAAAAAACACGCCACAGTGATAAATGTAAGATGAAATAAAATGAAATTAAAAATCGAAGAATATAAATTGCTCTTCTTATCGTCACAGCTGTCTGCGAATTGAGAATGGGGACCTTTTGACTGATTTTCCAATATTGGGTGACCTATTACAGCAGGTATAGCATTCAGGTCAATTGAATATTTCAAACGCCCTATATAATAATTTCATTGATTGTTATATTAAGCACGACTTTTCAAGTGTGTTCTCCCGATTTCTGGCTCGACGTGACCTAGTTTATATTCAACGTGCGCATCCCTTTAATGATTCATGACTTTCTTACCTTCAACGTAGGAGATCTTGAAGCCGGTCACCTGACCCGACTTATCTTTTGGCAGGATCCACTTGACGACCAGCGATCGAGTACGCGGACGAACTGACAGCGATCGCACAGCACGTGGAACTGCCACCAAAATAAAAAATATATAAATTAACTATTAAAAAAAGCAGGGAGTCTTTTATCAGATCGTTATCAAAGCTGTGTATCCAGTGAAGATGTACTGTACCTCCCATGGGTGCCAACATTCCATTTTTAAAGTGGAATTATTTGCGCTTTGGTTTCAATCAAACCGCGCTGCCAATAGATTGCTGGTGCAGGTGCAAGTAATACAGACACTCAAAAACCCATTATCTGACACTCCAGAAAAAAAACATAATAGCAGCAAAAGAAGGAGTAAAGAAAGTGAACGTGTGTTTCTGTGTGCCGAAGAGGCTGTATCGCCCCGGTACAGGATTTAAAATAAGTTGAGAATGTACAATGTTGAGATCGGAAACAAGAGTAATTAAAAACAATTGTGCTCTATAGAGCTCGTCCGGACGGGTAAGACGTCGGGGGAACATCAGGTCCGGGAACCAGATTAGTCGACACCTTTTTGGAGTAGAAACAAAAATATCACGTTCTGCAAGCAATTTAATGACTTAAAATTGGCAAAATGTAATTTTCGAATGGTTCCGACATGTAAATAGCGTCAATAACCTTGGATACAAGTATTCTGTTTTACCCCTAACATGGTGTCATTACAGCGCCCTCATTTGCTAAAAAAATGACATGTTATCAATGAGTTTCGTGTCCGGATTAATTGGCTTCGGCTGGAAATTGCACACGCGCCTATGGAAGCGGCTTCAGCCACTTCCCACAGACACGCGTGTTAATATCAAGTCATAGCCAAGTACGAACGCGGCTTACAGTACACTCAGCGAATCATAATCATATTTTGTTCTTAGGAACATCATTTTGTGAGACTTTCTCCACCTCTGAAATGTATGAAAACTATTGGCTTTGGGTTAATTTTATTGAAGAGTTAATTTTATTTAGGACTCTTTAAACATTTTAAACAATTTACATGCTTTTCGTGCACGGAGAGCGCTGTTGCTGTGATGTCATTTCAGGAAGATACTGTTTATGTTGATGTTTATTTTCTGTTCAAGTTTTGAACCCAAAATGTGAATACTGAAAACATTTGTGAGAAAAAGTTTGCTCATTGGCTTACTGCCATGTATTGACGAAACAACGAATCACTAAAGAAAAGAAAATTGACGACACTGAAATATCGTTTACTGATGAAACTACCTGCAACATTAAGGTTTCTGCCTGAAATAACATCACACTTTTGCTCATGTATATGGAGATTCGCTTTAGCAAAAAAAATGCACGAAAATGCCCCTTGAAAATGGCAAACCGAAAATTGCAGTTAGGGAGAAATGGGACACAAAGTTGCATTTTCAAAGATTGCATTTAATAACAAAGTTATATTGCATGGGCCCTTTAATTTCACCTTTGGCGTTGGTTGTGACAGTCTCCCTCAAGTCGTTCTTGTCACTGCATCGCGGTGTCGTGCCGACGTTCTTGAGTCTTGTCGAGAAGTCAAGGAGGGCCGAATTGAACCGAACATCATTGAGACAGCCTTCGAAGTGGGCCGAGGTCACGTGGTTGGCAGTCACAAATGGCGGGAGACCTCCGAGAAAGAGTGGCCCGTTGAGGTTCAGGAACCTGTCATGCAAAATATACGTAAGAAGTCGAAAACTTTTCTTTTGACCAATAGAGGGCGCTAATCAGATTTTCATCACAAAAAGGTTATACCATATTTCGAGGTGTAGTTTAAAGTGATAACTCATTGAATAAGCATCACCGTGTCAATTTAATCGCCACAGTGACAAATCTCCAATTTCCTGTCATTGGCATATTATGATGTTTTGTTTACTAATTAATATGTGGCTAAAGAATAAAAGGGGGGGGGTCTCAGGAGCCTAAAGTCTATTTTCAGAGAGCTGCTGAGAGCGGAAAGTCATTAAGCACCATAGTGATCGTTTTAGCCGATTTTCGGCTAACTTTGACAGATTTTTTGTTAAAAAACGAGTTTGACAGAAAATTTGACAGAATGGATTTTTTTTGCAGATTTCTGGCAGAATTCTGCAAAAATGATTTTTTGACAGAAAACCATAGCAATTTAAAAAAAAGGTAGTTTTGTTAAAAAAAAAGCTTCAATCTTTTCAAACAAACCCTTGCAAAATAGGACAGGTTGCCTTGTCTGTGTGCTGAGGTTCACTGGGAATCGGATTTCGTCGCGACGAAACCTCGTTTTGACTGAAATTTATGCAATTTCATAACACCTTTATATGATTATAGATTGTTTATAATGTAATTTGAACCTTAATTAAGGCAATATTACAACATCTGCATGTGATGTGAAGTGTTTATAGTGTATTTCGAGTAGTTCATGGGAATTTGGCAGATTTTTGAAGTGCATTTAACAAAATTTGGCCATGACCTTACGGTCACCCTGTTAAGCACAGTATTTTTATTATCGAATTATTATTATATTTTATTTAGCGAAAAAAAACAGTTTGGTGCAAAATCTTCCGCAAGGGAGATTCCAAATTCCAAAACCTACTTAGCTCGTGGAGTCTTTCTCTGTACACCAATGCCTAAGCATGAAGGGCTGGCGGATGTCACATTCCAGGCGGCAGCAGTTAACGTGCAGTTGTCTATACCCATCAGGACACTCTGAAAAGAAATCAGACTCTTGGAAGTGACACTGGACCTGGTATCATCCCTATAGAACCTCGTTCTGTTCACGTTCTGTTGCCTGTTCTAGATACTATTATCGTATGTGCTCAGAATGTCGCTCACTTGTTGTCTCGGTTCGCAATTTCACTCGCAGCACATGTTTTGCAATCTTCTCTCATCTCTTCACTGTATGTGTTCACAAGGGCGGATCCAGAACACAATGGGGGGGGGCAAAAATTACGGCGTGGGGTTCGGGGCCCGCTTTAGGCCCAGAGATTTTTGTGGATTCTAGATGCTCTGTGTTGCGATCTGACGCAATTTTGACCACTTTAAATTAATAAATGTTTTTTGAGGAAAAGATGGTGGTGTACCCATTGTCTGCCTTTATTGCGAAGTCACTAAAAAAAACAATGGATTCGGGGTTTTGTTTTTAGGGGGGGGGGGCATGGCCCCCTTTGGCCACCTCCCCCTGGATCCGCCCTTGTCTGTTCATAAGGCCAGTACTGTGAGATATTCTTCTAGCTTTCTTTCCTCGTACTGCTGCACTTTGGAACTCCGTACCTGAATCCTGTTTTCCACCAACTAAGCAACTACCAACGTAACTTGTTTCTCTTAATGCTTTCCTTTGTAGCCCGCACGTTGAGTGGCCTACTGGCGTTGTGGTGGGCGATTCCCATTTGTTATGTGTGAGAGCCGCCCCCCCCCCCCCCCCCCCGGCGTTTCATTTGGCAAACTTCGTGTCACTTTCGGCAAATATGCCGCCTTGAAAAGCTTCTCAAATCAACCAGCTTTCTTGGAGAACTGGCTTATCTGGTCAAGCTGGACCCGAAAGTCTCAGTTTAGGAAAGTCTCAATTCAGTCACTCACTCAGTCGGTCATTTAGTTAATATCTAATTCCCGAAGACGGAAACTAGAAAACAGATGTTATAGAGTGAAATCTTTGTGGAATTTTGAGTGAAAACTCGATCTCTTCGAGTGATGAAAGTGAATTTCGTCGATGAAAGTGAATTTCTCTCTAAATCGTCCTGTCCATAGTTTCAGTGGGATGGAGTTGATGTTTTACCCGAATCGAGGGAGGTTTTACTCGAATAGAGTGAATTTTTACTCTTTGGAAGTAAAAGAGGAGTGACTCACCCCTCCAGAGTGATTAATGTGGACATCGTGCCAGACCCCATCGCTGACATTCCGGGCAATGGAGGCGCTGCTACCGGCTGCACTAGCGTGCGCGTCCAGCCTGCCGGAGCGACTGAAGTGCAGACGGCCGCCAACGATCTGAAGAGCTACTGACTCGCCTCGCATCCCGCCAAGCTGGCCATTGTAGAGCAGGAGACCGTTCGATTTGAGCGTCTTGAATCTGCGAACAAAGTCGTAAAGGGAGCCTTTAAGATCCTGAAAGCTTTTTCGTCGTTTCTTACACAGGTTCTTACAGGATCTAATATATACTATACATATTGGCCTCTGTCCAGTATTTGTTTGAAAAAAAAACTTTCAAGAAACTTAATTAGGACCACCTAGGATCGTACACGATGTCACGAAAAAATGTTAAGATCTTGTCGGATTTTTCTTTCATGTGGAAATTATCAAGAAAACAAATGAAGAGTTTAGTGCCCGTGTTATTTTGACACGGATGAATCTGCCGGTTTTACATCCTTCGGCTGAAATATGGCAAAGTATTGTAATCTTGGTTTACAGGTAATTGCCTATTACTGTCAAATACTGTTGAATATGGATTTTATGTAAGCATAAAGGTCCAAGGGTCCGAACCACAAGCGGCGTAACAAAGAGGGCGACATAGGGGCGCACCCCTCCCTCCAGAAAGTGAGGGCCCAAGTTCCCCCGTTAAATTGAACCACAAAGGAACACCACTGCAGATGGCAATACGAGGACCTCAAACGAAGTTAACTTGGACAAAAATTTACATATCGATAATTTAAAAACAAGCAAAGTCCCTGGCCTTCAACGAGATGCACTTTACCGTAGTGATATGTGGAACTCCCTGGACAGCCTCCCCAACGGCATGAAAGCCAGGAAAGAGCCGTCGGTGAAACTACGCGTCGTCATTTGACAGCGTGGACCGTCGTATCTGCCCTGGTCTCGGCACAAGCAGTCTACCCATCCTGAATTGTCGACTGCGCACGATCCGTGGTGGTTGCAAACCGCTTCGGAGCAATTACCGGCTGGAAATGGAGGCTGGCAGTTCGTGTTGCCTTTTTGTAAAATCAGAATTGAGTTAATTTTTTTTTGCAAATTAAAAGTGGTCGGTTTGCCTGGGGGAATGTTTTGGTGAAGTGTCAGTGATGCGTTTTCTTGCACCCTATACACCTTACTTTTCAATTTACTCCTAGTAAATTGGTTGGCGTAGTGGTACTTTCCCCGCCTTCCACCGCTGTGACCCGGGTTCGAATCCCGCCTGGGCCAACATGTGGATTGGGTTTTCAGTCCCTACCTGATTCCGTGGGTTTTCCTCAGAATATCCTTCTGGGCTTTTCCTCCCACCTCTAAAACTGTAATTTCTTCTCGTTGTCTTCTCTCTACAGGTTTCTTCAGGCTTGCAAGCTACAGTGCCCAGGGCGCTTTTGAGGAATCCTTGGTTTCATTACCAGAAATGATTAATAATAATAGTTGACGTTTAGGTAATCTCTGATGCATCGAGTACCATCTATTAGTGTAACCGAAGTCCAATTTGTCGGGCGGGGGGTAAAGGAATCTAGTTTTATGGGGCACTCTTTAAGCACTCAACAATAAAAAAATAAAAAAATATCATGCAAGGCATTTTATTTGTACAATAGGGACATAGGCATATATATACCCCCCCCCCCCCCCCCCGCCGCTCGACATACCTGGAAATAAACACCTGCAACTGAATTGTTCTTCCTGGTATTCATCCACGACCTGTCGAACGCACTCCTCAAACTCGCTGCAGACACTGGCGCCACACAAAGGCGTCCCACAGCTCATCCTGAAGCTCACGTTGAAAGCAGTGTAGGACAATCCTAGGGCTACCTCCGTCACGACGCTGGCTTCGCCGGCGACCAGGGTGGGAACGAGACGGCACTGTGGACGCACAGGGTCGGGTATGATGTCTGCGAAACGCCGCAGTTGCTCCGACTCCAAGTAGAGCAGCGACCGAACCTCGTCCGGTGCCAAGACGGTCCCATCGCGCCGCCTGACGGCCAAGAAGGCCCTCAGGACTAGCGGGGATTCGCTCACACCAATCGGTGACCTCGCCAAGCCACCGCGAACCATGAGAGTCACAAAGTTCTCCGTCGTCTTAAAGACGCCGGTCAGGGCAGATACGAAGTCTCGATACCTTGACAAGAACGTCTCAACATCTGAACGGATGCGAAGCCGCAGCGACATGCCATGATTGAGAGATTGGTCGTCGACTGGTAATAGATACATTGTGTAGCTGCAGGTCACATTATGAAGGCCATCTTAAAATATAAATAATAAGTTCACAAATGGTTTACATGATATTGCAGAGAGACAATATTTGAGACGTCATTTTTTTTCCCCAAATGGTGTTTAAACCTAAAACTCTAAAACATTCTGTAAAATCGTGGCTCCTATAGTGTGCTGTCATTTTCAAGAAAAATGGGATTTTTCCAAAGCTGGTCGGCCGACCAGCGTTGGAGAAAACTGGCTTTTTTTCAAAAAGTGCTTCTAATTTTTCATTATTAGTTATTCCGCGTTTTCTTTGCAATTGATTACACACCTGTGAAGGGGTACAATCTTGCCAGACTGATTCTCTGACCTTACAATTCCGCAAATGTTATACATTGCTCTGTTTCATCTTAAGAGGGGTCAGGGAACCAGACTACAAGAACATGATTGGTTTTCTTGGTTTTTCCAGCATCTACAAGCCCAAATCATGAAACAAGTCATTTTAACAATATTTGCTATAACATATTAATCCTCCAAATCCATTTATTTCTTAAACTTGCTGCAAAAGCAAATGTTGTACATTCCCTTTAATAAAGAGGTTTACCTGAAACTTCGATGGCCAGTTGCTTGGCGGAAGGTGAACTATAGGTTGATGACCGTCTGTGACACGCACGGATTATTCCCGTATTTTCGTCCAAAGCAAAGCTCATACCTAACACAACAGTAGATCTATCGGATGAACTTGAAGATGCTTTTCGTCTTCCTTCGCCTCCGGCAAAATTATTGTTCTCTTCAAGAAGTCGAAACTTCAAGGAATCTCCAATGTCCTTATCTAAAGCACCTACTTTTCCTATAATATGGCAGCCCCTAAATCCAGCATGGAAGTTGTAAAATAATTCCTGAGTAGATGGCACAGTAGGCGGGTTGTCATTGAGGTCTAGGATGTGGATCACTAAACTTGCGTCGGTGAAGAGTCGACCGGACGATGCCCGGACGATTGCTTCGTACTCGGACCTCTGCTCGCGATCGAAGCGGTACAGCGTGTGCACGATTCCCGTGCCACGCTCGATCTGGAAGCGTTGGCGCGTCTGCGACGCACGCTGCTGTACGAAAGCGTACGAGACCTGCGCGTTGGGTCCCTCGTCCGCGTCCGTAGCGGTGACCTTTCCGATCGGGCCGAATGGCAGGTTGTTCTCGGTGACATTCAGGTGGATGATGGGGCTTGGGAACTTTGGCGCGTTGTCGTTGACGTCTCCCACTCGCACCAAGACCTCGACGACTGTTACAAATAAATGATCTGTCGCAATGACCTTGACGGTATACTGAGCTATCCTCTCGCGATCCAGAGACCGTCGAGTTCGGATCAGTCCGCTTCTGTGGTCGATGGAGAAGGTGTTGCTGTGGTGGCCTGACAGCATGTACATAACTGCACCGTTTGTACCTACAATGACGAAAAATTAAATGTGGGTATCGACACCAATCCAGATTGAACCCAAGGTGAGAAATCAAGGGCCATTTTTTTCGCTCGTACCCCCGCCCAACAAACAGGACGCTGGGACACGCTGATGAATTCACGCTCTGATTGGATATATTTCGCGTGACCTGTGACCTGAAGTCATCACGGCCACGACCCTGCAAGGTTTGAACGGCCGTTAAGACTGACTCATCTCTCTTTCATTCCCATTCATCAATGCTTTTTTTTTCGTTGAAAGCGTGAAAATGTAGGAAAGTCTGTAAAACTTATCTGTTTTATAAATTTTGAATTCCTGTCACACTTGTACTTGCTCAGGCTCCGTTTCGAATTCACAAAAGGTCAAATTGCATGTTATCCGACGCTCAAAATGTGTCCACATGGTCCGCAATGAAAAAGAAATCACATCCGGTATGGAATGTGTTCATTTCTATGAGAAGGTTTTCGGATAGCATTTGCGCGCATTGGCTAACTGCGGTCTTAAACAGCTGCAACAATATACTTTATACATAGGTCATGGTAAATGACCCAGTAGCCACTCCCACTTCCTTCACATGATTCTGTGAAGCTCCAACCTCGTCTCCAGTGCTTACTTTATTTCCAACCTCGTTTCCAATAGTAAGCCCTGGATAGAAAACTTTTGGCTGTATCCTGATTCGATACCGCAATTTGCTAGTAATGGATTTATATCGTGTAGTTGGTGTTGTTATTTCCAACGTGCATTACGTGTTTTCACGATTATTGTAATTATAACGTCCACGCTTTTTCAAAAATACTCCTTTCCTTTCTAAGTTGCTCATTTTAATATGAAATGTGATACTGCATATTGTCAGGATAAGATTGTAACACTTTAACTTGAAAAACAATCGTGTTTTCGTAACTCACAGCGTGACCAATTGATGCTGTTTTTACCCCAGACACCGCATACAAAAAAAACCCCGCTAATGTAACGCACATGCAGGCACCAGACTATTCCTCATTTGCATATGTGTGCAAAGATTTTGCTCTTGCAAATGATCCAATACCAGGGTGAGAGAGCGGGTAATGGTGGGCGCGCACAGCTCGACACCCTTGGGACGAGGTTGGTGAAGCTCATCAGCGTGCCCCAGCGCCCTGTTTGTAGGGCGGGGGATATATGAGCGAAGGCCAATTCTATGAAGCTGCTCCGCAGAAAATTCTTGGCAAATGTTTGTGCTCAGCGAAAATTGGCAGAGTACCAGTTGACAATATTTTTGCGTGACATGGGATTTACGCTGGTAACCTACTTTTGCTATTAAATAAAATCTCATCCGTGCTTAAGTTAGCAGAATTCTGTGCTTAGCAGCTCAATGATTTTGACTCCCGGATCTCTAGAATGTCGTTCAAGAGTAAAACGAAATCAGTGAAAGAAAAAAAAAATCGAGATTGAAATGAATCAACTGCCCATATTTGTATTACTGGTGAATCATGTTTCATAATATTATTTAGGCTACTGTTCGTTCTATAACAGCTTAAAGTTACGATTATGTTAGTTTTCCAACTTCCTCCTGTTACAACTGATAATGTAGTAACCAACGGTTAACGTATCAACAACCGATAATGCCACACACATTGACCCATACTGTATCACTAACCCAACAAAAATTGACCGATAGTGTAGTAGATGTTACTACAATATCGGTCAATTTTTGTTACATTATCGGTTGGGACCAATAATGTAACAACAATTGACTGAAAGTATAGTACATTTTACTACATTATCGGATTTTTTTTTTTTTTGTGTTACATTATCGGTGAGTTATACAGTATCGGTCAATTTTAGTGACATTATGGCTGGATACGTTATCCGTTGCTTACTACAATACCAGTTGTAACACCTCATCTATACTATAGTTTATACAAACCCCCCAAAATTCAAGGTAACCACATTGCTACAAATTCCCACCTGAATCTTTGTCGGTTGCAGTCACGTGCAGTACGCGGCTCATTGGGTGCGCGTCCTCGTCTATGACAGCTTCGTATCCGGGCTTCTCAAACAACGGACGATTGTCGTTCACATCCAAGACAGTAACTTGGAGTTGCGCTACAGCACTTCTTGGCGGCATCCCTGCACATCAGTGGGAAAATAATACAATTCAAAACGAGCATTATCCAGTTTCATGGAGGTTTTTTTACCATAGAGAGTTAGGCAGCAACAAGCTAACAAGCCAAAAAAGCAATTCATCGATCATCGTATACTTGCGAATGGCTAGCTGATTATTGCTTTAAAGCTACGTTATTTGCACCTATCCAAGCAGAATCTGACGGAATAACCGTGAACAGCATAATTGGTTTAAAGATAGTAATTGGACTACACTCCCTGTAAAATTATTCGTTCTGTCAAGCTTTCGTTCTGAAAAAAAAATGAAAGAAGGCCATTTCCAACGATGCGTCTAAAGAAGACGCATTCTTGGAAATTTCCGTTAGTAGTTCATTTATTTAATTCGGCGAAGCGCGCGCGGTTGCTATAATTCGTCGGTTCAGAGCGCGACATCGCGTAGCTGCAATCGGCTGAATGAGAACGTGTCCCGGTTGCTAAATTCGGGCGCAATTCAAAACATGACTGGGCAACATTTGATTTGAAATCAAGATCCTAGAATACTGATTTTCTCGGAATATACAGCAAACCCTAAGCTAAAACTTCATCAGGTTAGTTGTTAAGCTCCCTTATTTAGATTTTGAGCACTTTATGTAGCTTCAATCGGGAAAAAAAATGCACAAATGAAAAATGATGTACCCTACCTTTAATTAAGAGCACATACAGGCGCCTGCTGATTGGTCAGTTTCTCGAGTTCATACGCAGTCTAGTTGCATAATTAATCACCAAATCTGTTTACGTATCATAGACCATGGTCGGCTCCGCCAGGGACATGGACTACATAATATTGGGCCCTGTTATGATATTGAGCTAATTATTTTTGTCCACTCCGGAAGGCTTTCTCACAATGTTTTTTCACGTTAGTGCCCTCTTTTGGTTCCTCTCTCAAACAAATAGCTCAATATTAAACCCGTACATACCATATGGTTATTGCAAGCAGAAAGGTTAACATAAATAGCGGACGCAACAAAATTGAATGAAATGTTTTGTCTACCTTGATCTGTTGCAGTCAACTCAATCATGTACGCGCCTTTCGTCTCCCGGTCCAACTCCCCAACAACGAAAACTACTCCAGTCACCGGGTGAACGGCGAAGTCCTCCCAGCCGTCCTCATCATCCGCCCCGCTGGAGATGCTGTACGTGATGTTGCCAGCTCCTCCCTGGTCCCAGTCCAACGCCTGCACCGTACGGAGAATCGTACCCAGGGGACCATACTCGTAGACCTCGCTGTAATAAACATCCTCGTAGAAAACTGGCGAGTACAAATTTGGCGGGATGGTAGGACTCGTGAGCGGGGGGATGGAAGTTTCTTTTGGAGCGGTTGAGGTGAATGGACGAAGAGTTGACTCAAATTCTGTGGGATTGATGGTGTCTGTATGGCTCGTCGATACCAGATCAGAATCGATACCGGGTGTTGTGGTGATTGTGGCGTCGATACCAGCAGTAGTTTCCAATCGGTCGGTAGGCAGGACAATTTCTGTTGTGGGAGCGGTATCGATACTGAATGTGTTTTCAAGTTCGAGTGGCGTACTAGCTGTTGTTGGTTTGGACATCATTCTTCCAGGCTTTTTAGGCCTTGTTGTGGTACCGATTCCAAAAGTGATTTCAATGTCGTTTAGGTTTTCAATGTCTGTGGATGCAGCGGTATCGATACCGGTTGTGCTTTCAAATTTACTAGGGAAATCGGTTGTTGGTCTCGAAGTGCCAACTGTCGTTGTAGTGATAACGTTAAGTTTAACTGTTGTGGTTTCGATACTAGCTGTGGTTTTGAGGCGCGGATTGTCGATGTCGATTTTGGGAGTGGTATCGATACTGGTTGTGAAAGGAATATCAGTTGGCTGTTTGGAGGTACTGCCAGTCTTTGTAGGAACGACGTAGGGTTTAATGGATGTATCATCGATTACAGGTCTTTGAAGATCCTCTATATCAATCTCTAACGTGACGTCGACGTCAGTACCACTATCGACACTGGCGGCCGTTGTCGGTGTATCGATTCCAGTAGTTCTTTGTGAATTGCTTGTGGTTTCGGTAGGTGAGGCGACATCGACTTCGGTACCGGTATCGATACTGGTAGATGTATCAATGTCCATGGTATCGACAGTGTTGTAGTTACCGCTGACGACATTTTCAACTGTTTTGGTATCGATACCGTCAGTGCTCTCGATATTTGATGTGGTGTCGAGGACGACAGTTGTAGGGAGGGTACTATGAGCAGTGGCACCGACATTTGTGGACTGAGGCTTTTCGATATCGAAATCGGTACCTGAAGGGACTGCAGTTGTGTTTGAAATTGTTTGGTGAGGAGGCCCAATAGTGCAGGGGACGTAGTGCGCATGTGCGAAATGCAGAGACGCAACAAGAAGGATGAGACACCTTGACCGGCTCTTGCACGTCTTCATGATGATCGGTGAATGTAATCCACTGTTGTCCTACGGTGCATTACCGTTTGACCTGTCATTGAAATGAAGGGGAACAATTCATCAGTCACTTTCAGTAGTTTACTGGCTTAGCACATTTTCATCGGCCTAAGTTACTCTCCATCCATAGTCAACCTTAAATGGGTTTCGGGTAATAAAAAAAGTAAAGGTAAAGGGGACGAGCCTGTGTTCACAGGAACGGAGTGCCTGTGCCATCTGTCATCTGTCTAGCGATTGGGCTAGACCTATCCGTGTAATGCTGCTGTGGGGGATTGCCACACCTCCTCCACAGCGAGTCTGTTACCTTCCCATCCCATCTCATCCCAGCAGTGAATACTGCCGGTACCCATTTAAAACCTGGGTTGAGAGGAGTAATTGAAGTAAAGCGCCTCACTCAAGGGCACAACACGCATGGCCACAGCGGGGCTCGAATACACACGATCATGAATCCTGTGCTCCATCGCTAGACCACTCGTCCAAAATTCTTTCTAAAATGCAGCAGTTATATCAAACTTTGCTTGAGAAAGGCCTATTTGAATGGACGAGAACAGCATTTAGTAGATGACTCTTTCCAGGCACGGATCCAGGGGGGGGGGGGTTTCTCCCCCCCAAAAAAAAAATCCATAGAAATTCCTCAAAAACATTCGAACCCCCCCCCCCCCCCGCCCGCTCCGACACCCAATTTTTTTTATTCTAGTAATAATGTCCGCCTTGCATCAAGAGCTACAATCCCGGCCAAAATGGTTGGGTCACTTCATGAGCCTGCCATGCCACGGTCACCCATGTTGTTCTCTCCAGCTGATGGGGCACACACCGCGCAATGAGAGACAATATTGAACGGGGCCCGGGGCCCGGGGCCCGGGGGTTGGGGGCCCAGATGGAGGATCATGGGGCACACACCGCGCAATGAGAGACCATTGAACGGGGCCCGGGGCCGGGGGGCGTATTTTTTTTTCCTAGGAGGGTTAGGGGCAATGTCATGAATAATTCAGTTTTTCCTTTGAATCATTGCAAGACTCAGGTTCTCGTTCTATTTTCCCCTTAATTTAAAATTATCTCAGTGATAAATTTGGAGAAGAAAAATAGCTGATGAAAATGAGCAGCGACGACGTGGATTCGAACCAGGGATCTTTGTATCCATAGCTAATCTCGCTATCCACTAGGCTACTGTGTGGTAGCTCGACGACAACCGTTCTTTAAAATGCTTTAATGTATTGTAACTAGTTGAGTAACTAACAACAATGCTGTTGATGTCATTGTCCGTTCTCATGGATAAACATGAATTATTCATGACATTGCCCCTAACCCTCCTAGGAATAAAAAGTACGCGGCCGGGGTTAGGGCCCCAGATGGAGGATCATGGAGCACGCACCGCGCAATGAGAGACAACATTGAACGGGGCTCGGGGCTGGGGGTTGGGGGCCCAGCGAGATTTGGCCAGGATTGTAGCTTGGGGGTATGTACATTATTCTGTGATATAGTGTTAATAATCGTCGGATTTTAACAGCGCCCCCATTGAAAGTATGGTACGAGAATTTCTTAACTGTTTCGGTTTATTTCAGTTTTTTCAAAAGATGGCTAAACCGACCCGACCCGACCCGAAAATGTAAATGCAAAACCAAAACCGACCCGACTCGACTGAAAAGATGGACAAACCGACCCGACCTGACCCAAAGTCGGTTTCGGCTCGGGTCGGTTTCGGTTTCAGGTCGTGTTTGCACATCATTTTTTCACGGCCCGTGAAACTGATCGACTGCTATTGACAAGGAGCATCTGCTTTTTTCAATTTAACTATTCAACAAAACATTATCATTGCGTTCCAAGAGTACGATACTAATTTAATCTCTGAAAAGGGGGTAGACAGTGGCATATACGTTACAGCGGGGAGGGGGAGCAACCTGTCTCACCTGTGTCCCCCTCCCCCTCCCTCCCCGGAGACAGGTTGCAAATATTAGTGTGGTTTTTTTTTGGGGGGGGTTAGGAAATAAAAGCGCCAGCTCCTCACAATTTCCCACAATTAATCATGATTAGAACAAAATAAAGTGCTCGGCTTTTTTGTTTAGCTGATAACTTCGGATGGATGACGAACAGTATTTATAGTAATTTAATTACTCTTTTTCACAGCACCGAAAGTGATCAACTGTGACAAACTGATCAGAATCATGTGCTTTTCTCACCAAACGTATTCAACCAAATATATTCAATATTATCATTGCATTCCAAGAGTACAACTATGAGAGATTACTTCAACCTCTTGGGGGAGGGAGGTGGGGAGAGAGTGGCATTATACATCTGGAGGCAACGTGCCTCTCCTGTTTCCAACCCCCCCCCCCCGCCCCCCCCCCCCGTAACCTTTGGGTTTTTGTTGCTTATTTGCTCCTTTTAACCGCCATTAGTCGTGATAGCCTCCGCACTGAATCACTGTTTTGAACGAAAAAGGGCCCGGCTTTTTCTTAAAAATCCACCCATCACTTTACCCCCCGCTGGACCCCAAACCTGGATACGCTTCAAAAGAAAGACAACGTAAGATTTTAACAGTTTTCTTGGCGCGCACTGCGCCTGGTGACGTGTGTTAATTCTGAAACGCAAAACATTTCGCCATAATCAATTACATTATGTCTGACTGCACATGTGATCTAAACTTTGACTCACCATTCAAATCGTCTCGCAGTTGGCTGCATTCAACCCCAAAACAGAACTTGCTTCCGTACGACGAAAGTCCTCAATAGAGATGTTGCAGGTAGAAGTTTGGCAGGGACACAATTTCGAGAGCTCAAGCTGCGGCAGACAAAACTAGCTCTGCGTGCAGTGTCTGGGATTGAATCATTTAAAGACAATATCCTTTAGATTGAATCCTGTGTGTGCTACACCGGGTTTTGGCAGGAGTCCACGACTAGACGTGACAGAGGGCTCTTGTTTGACCTTGCACCAAAAGGTTGAGGAGAAAACAATTTCCACAATTTGTGGGGACAGCTGTTCCCGTCGTGTGTTGCCATAACTCTTCTCCCAAGTTGACGGAGTTTCGGTCCCCTTGTGACACAGCGTGATTTGGTAATCTTGAAGTCAACAAGGCTGTCGGCGTTTTGATTTAGTACATCCGGGATCATGAACCAACAAAAACCTAGTTTCAAGTTGATAAACTTAATTGTACCACAAATATAAGGTGATACTACGACAAGCACTCATTTTGTAACCTCTATAGGCATTGCGGAGCGATCACACTCGAAACACGTCGCCGCGTATGAAAGTTAAAACTCACTCTATTCGAGTGAAACTAAACAAAATCTGGAGTACATATTTTTTATACAAGGAGTCAGTTCAAGCACGAAATTATGTGATTTCTTTCTGACATTGATGATGTTGCATATTTTCATAAGACACTTCTCCTTTGTCCCCCTAACACTCCTCTTTGCATTCGTAACCAGGGAGGGATTATTCCGCTACCCCTAACACCTCCTAACAACTCCATAATCGATCCACCCTCGATCCTCCACACTCCTCCCCGAATACCCTACAGTCATTTTCAGATATTCATAACAGCTGTAGGCCTACAGGAAAATCAACAACTGGACGATCCATTCCTTCAGTTGTTCCTGACCCTTCTCCATGATATAGTAGCCGTACACGTGATGCAATTAAGTCACGCCCCTCGGTAGGTCGGGATGAAGTACCTCCGTGCCGCCGTCGACTCCCGCAGGCAGAGGACCGTGATTGTGACACGTCATCCTCTTGTCCACCGCTTCATTCTTCTCGTTATCTGCGGCACTGCAACATCAACTTCAACTGCAGCCATTTCATCTTTGGGAACATATTTCGGAAAATAAAGTAGACCTATTACAGTAAACTCCTATATTCTCTTCAGTGGCGTATGGGGTGCAATTTACATGGAGGGGGTGGTTTATATGGGCCTCATTTTTGGAGGGGAAACTCAACGCATATAGGGGGCACATGTTTGCCCCGGGCCTGGTCGTTTTATCTCATAAAGTTGATTCCATCAAATAGATCGGCGGCGGGTCTAGCTTTCAGGAACCGGGGGTGGGGTCGGGTTGATATAAAGGCGGCCGGGATGAGGTTGTGGCGTGTCGAAGGCACGCCCTATTATAATTATGGAGTCCGGGGGCATGACCCCGAAAATTTTTGATATCTACGATCCTTTTCCTCTATTCTAAGAGAATATATGTGGGAACTTTAGCATTCTATTTTATAGGTTTGGCCCCATTTTGCTGGTATCATAAACATGAGTCAGGTGCTGCCCATGGGGAGGGGGGTAGGGGGGTTGCAAATGGACGCAGGTAGCAGGGCGTGCCTTCGAAAACCCTTAGAATCAACTTCCCCCTTACATCAACCATCACCTTAATCTGTTTCCTGAAAGGTATCCGCCCCTGTCCGTACATAATTCAACACTGCCCTGAAAAACTCTAAATGAAACCTGTTGCTATGACTGTCATGGGCGGCGTTCCCAGGTGAACTATAAGGGGTGCATGTCCTCCACATACTTGTTGGCCGGGGGACGCCTATGGCGATATCCACCTTCTCAATAAAGTTTCTCGGTTCGTAATGTTTGTACTTTATTTTTCCAAAAGGGTGTTTATAGCTCCAAGATAGCTCGTATACAGTCTCCATCGTCGTCGCCAGTCAGGCCTCATAGTTCGAGAATTTGGCGTAAAACGTAGACTATATGCACATGTGCACACAGGTTTAAAAAGCGTCCCTTACTGCAGATGGTGTCTATCCCAGGACATCCCACGAGCACGTCCCTCACCAAAAAAAAACAAAAATCGCCCCACTTTTCAACTTTCCCGAACTGCCGGTTCCCGGTCCGCCTGTTGACAACAAATCGACGCACCTGCTGACTGCTTTCGAAGAGTACAACCTTGACACTCAGTAGGCCTAATTGAATTGACGCGTTCCCTTGGTAGCAGTTAGTTTAACAATACCTCCAGGAGATGCTTCCATAGTCACGTGGACATTCTCCTCAGTCAGTCAAATTATTGTTAGTCAAGTAGGCCTTGACTTGAAAAGGAAGTTATATTTTGCCTTCAAATTCCATTATTTTGATTTACAATTTGTATCACTCAAATTCTATGGAAATCTATATAAAGTCGCTTATGCTTTATTTTTAATTTTAATTTCCACACAATGTAAATCTTTACAAGTATAAAAAAAATGTGTATTATAATTACTAATTAATAACGTAGCACTGTAGCCTAATTCGTCGTAGTTTCTGAAAATTCGGCAGGTTCTACGTAATTTGGAGATTGGAATGCAAATTCGGGGTCGGTGGGTTTAGGCCTATATTGTATGTTTACTATATAGGTTTATATAGGGTTGCGCCATGCATTAATTACAGATCTTGTGAGATTCTGCCGGTCGTCAGCATACTGCAAGGAGTTGAGTTTTCCCCGATTCTCTTCAGAACCTCAGCACTCGAAAAAGACATTCATTACAAGTCATGTTGCATATTACATGCATATTGCTGTCTTCAACACGCACACCTTCAACTCTTATTTAATTCAATTAAAGCGTTGGGGTTTTTTTTCCATTTTGAAAGTGGCAAGCTGAAACGTTACGGTCAGAACCCTTTTCAGTCTTTGGACTGTCCCTTTAAAACAATAATGTACTCTTCTCTTCTTCGTTTAAAATGGTCGTTGAACACAGCAAATATATTCTCAAGTGTTTCTAAGACGGACTTAAAATGGACCAATGTCAAATTTGGGTCGGTCGTCCATACAACCCCCGGCGGCTTCCAAGATGCTAGCTAGTGGTGCGGGCCAGTAAATCGGTCCGAAATTGCCTACGCCTGCCAAATCTCGTTTTGCATGCTCTCAAAATCTTCAGTATTTGAGCATATTGTGGGAAATGAACTTAAGGGTTTGTAAAAAAAAAAAAATAAGGGTGGAAGCCGTGCACAGGACCGTGAGCTTGTATTTATCATCTTCGGATGGAAATTTCTCCCAAAAATCATTAGATTACCCCAAAAATTGAAAAGAAAAGAAAAGATGATGAAATAAGCTTTAATTTGATGTACATCTTGAACACGTTGGAGAGTTGTGAGTATTTTTCCTGAATTTCTGAAGTGGGGGCATTTATCATTGAGATCAATGGAAATTTATTTACTGGTCTGCAGCCCTAGGGGCCTGGCCCATCCGCCACACATTCGCTCCCACCAACGCCACAAATACACAGGTTTAGAATGAACAAAACGAAGCACAAATGTCACGCAGGAACAACATTCATTTATTATTCTCACATGCATCCATGAGGCACGACCGGAGAGAAACAGTAATTACTTTGTATAAGGCACTTGCAGTTCGTCCCTGTGGGGAGTTTCTTATTTCCAACACATGATGGGGAAAAAAATGGACATACCTTTGTGCATCACACGGTACACCCTGCACTAAAACAGGTTTTAGGTGGGTTTTTTTAAGAGTATAAATGGACAACATTTGCAAACCTTACAAATATGACACCGCTAAAAATTGTTAAGAAATATCCTACTTAATTGCAAGCAAATGATAGGATCAAGTATTCTGTGAAATGGTCGCGGGTAGTAGGCCTGTATGCCATTATTTTTGAGAAAAGAGAAATTGTCATCATTATTTTCCTCGCGATGGCCGAAACCATTGCGAGAAAAAAAAAACTTTTTTCAAATACTGCCCGAAATTGACCAATTCGAGTTTAGTTTTAGTCTGCTAGTCTGTGATTTAGATTTTTTTTGTCTGGGTGACAAAGACGGGATCGCACCGCAAGAGGGAGCAAGTCAAAACTCATACATCTTGGAAGGGTGTGCTTCGAGCGGAAACCTCGCTTTGCGTCGAGAAAAACAAGGATGCATTTTCATGCACACTTTTCTCTAAAAGTATGATGTCGACTGAGCTGAAATTCGACAGGTTAGCTTTTTAGGAACCTGGTTCAGATTGATTGTAAATGATGTCCATTACCTTTGAATTAAGTAACAATGGAAGTACAAACTACTATTCAAGCATAACAGAAGAACGAAGATGTGACGTCAGATAAAAGATATGACGTCAGATAAAAGGGGTCTGTTCCTTTACAGTCCATATTTGACCTTGTCATGCTTTGGGTGTTTTTTTTATTTCAACGAGCGTAGATTGGATTGTTTATGTACGTAAATAAGGATTAAAAACAATGCAAGGTACCCAACTTCATTAGTGTTCGAGCAGAAACAAAGTGCGAATGGTAAATCTCAGATGGTGAATACAGAATGCTGGTTTCCTTATAAGTTTGTCCAGGCATTATTCCTGCGTATATTAATGATGCACTAAAATCTTTCTAGCATTTAATGCATGCTGTGTTTTGGTAGGCAACATAATATTCTGAGTAGCTAAAATTAAAGAATGAATAATGTTAAATATCATAACAGCCGATGAAACAAAACAGCATATATGTTGTTACGATGAGTTTAATTTGTCAAAGAGTAAAAAATGGAGTAAAACAGTCGAAGGTAACATAAACAGTCCCTGAAAGGGAGCGTGACATGCTCTTTTGTATGGAACAAGTAGCTTTAGATTCAAATTCATGCTAATAATATCCAAAGATTAATTTAGGGGGGCCCAAAAAATTGTCTAGTCCCCCCCAAAAAAACAATCCCCCAAAAATTCCAATACAAAAAAAATGCACTAGCAAAAGGTAAGAATGTGACGTACATGCGAACGGTGCCCCCCCCCCCCCCCAACAAAAAAGAAATTCATGAGAAGGGGGTATTTGTACAGTCAATAATGTTAGCCTGATTGTAGGATTTTATCTATGATACGAGCCCCCCCCCCCCCCCCCCCCCCCCCCCCCCCCCCCCCCCCCCCCCCCCCCCCCCCCCCCCCCCCGCCTATTGATTTTTCGGAGGCCTAAGTGTCCGGAGAAAATAACCGGTCTACATTTCAGCACGCCTCCCTGAAAAAAAATCTGGATCCACGTACCTGCCAGGTACCCACAAAAAAAATATTGGCTCTAGAACCGCACCTGGGTATAGGTTTAGAAACAACGAGTCTTTAAGTGTTGAAATCTTATTTTGGATGTCACATTAATGAGTTAAAAAAACAAAATTTATCTGAGTATATCAATATTAAGGCTTACATCAGAAACAAAGATCACTCGTTGTACGCTGTTTCTAAATCTCAAAGCAGCATGCATTCTGCATAATGACGGCTTTATACTAAGCAATTACAAGTACAGGGTGACCCCAAAACACAACCCTAAAACATTTGCCTTTTAAACAAAAAAAGGATCTGTAAAGTTTTATGTTTTGGGTGTCAGATTAAAGCTGAGAGCTTTTTCTTTCAAATACTGAAAAAAAATCATATAAATAACAGTTAAGGTTGCTGATAAAATGTCAATTATATAAAAGTAGTAATTTTTCATCCTGATTCACAAGTACTTCAAACAGTGAAACATTTTACTGTAAGCCTACTGTGCAATTATCCTTCATTTGTGCAATTTTTAAAATATTTTGACATATTTATGATGCTGAAAAGGTTTAAAATGGGACTAAAAAGAATGAGATACCTGTTCAGGTGGAAAATAAAAGGTATTTCCACCAAATTCATTTGAATGTACTCTTGTCATATTATGTGCTGTAAGGATTGGGACATGCACAAATACAGTGAAAATCCCTTATTGTGGTAATGTTTTGTAAACAGGATGAAAAATTATTACTTTTACATTATTGGCATTTTTCGGCAACCGAAAGTGTCATTTTCATGATTTTCTCAGTATTTAAAAGGAAAATCTCTCAGCTTTTCCCAAAACATAAACATTTCACCGATCCCTTTTTGGTTAAAGGTAAACGTTTAGGGTTGCATTTTCTTGGGTCACCCTGTGTATCATTGTTTTAGCTTAAAGTTTCGTTTCCCGTGTTTTTCACCAATTTCGAATTTCTTTCTTTCTCTCTGAATACATTTCAACTTGTACGTTACTCTTATATATTACAATTAAAAGTCTCATTTCACCCTTATTTTGGTTGGGGGATCTGCAACGCTCACAGAAAAAAAAGAGGTCTTTATTTTGGGCACAAACAGATCAACCTTGTGAGCAGACTGGTTCCCGGTCCGTACATTACCAAGAACGGATTGACTGTTGTCGGGACACAAGTAATTCGAAGATTGCAAAGCTATAATTCAATAACTGAGTGTTGGCCTAACTAATTTGTGGTTGACGTCTCATCAAAAAACGAATAACTTTTGTATTGCTAGAAAAAAAGCAATTAAGCATTTAATTTTGGGATTGAAACTAAAAAAAAACACAGAGGAAGGCAACGTTTGAACAGCGTTTAGAATGACAGTTTGCATGCGGATTACTTCGTTATATTAGTCAACAGCGCGCATTTTTTTATGACAGTCACTTGTATTATCATTGCGCGTAAATTAACAAGTATACTTCCAGAAGATAATTGAGCCCTCCTGGCTGCTTCTGAAGCCAAAGTCGTTGGTTACAACCATGTCACTCCTTGCGCTTGTAGTTTGGCGGGTGCCAGTCACGATTGCAACGTGTCTCCCATCGCCGGCCACGTACCCAAGACCTGCGGTGCTGCTGTAGGTCCAGCATCTGTCTTCACTCAGGTAGGAGGAATATCGGTTGCCCCATTCCCCAGCTCCGACTGGGGACCACCTCAACCATCGAGGCCAGCTGAGAAAAAACGGAGCACAATATCCGCAATTTGCTTTTAAAAGGGTTAGTTTATGTCTGAACGAGTGGCAGCGTTTTGATTGCATAATAAAGGTCTAAAATTTACAACAAATCGTAGTTGAGCGACGTCCTTTCCAAGGGCGCCACTATAGCTTGATTCCCCGACCAAACGATGACTAATCTGTTAAAGGTAGAGTACATCATTTGTAATTTGTCCATTTGTAATTTGTCCATTTGTAATTTGTCAACAAAATTGCTCAAAATTCAAAGAAGGGCGATTAACAACTAACCTGAGAAAGTTTAAGCTCAGTGAATGCTGTGTAGAATCTCAATTTCAAATTAATAGTTACTAAGTCAGATTTTGTGTTCTTCAAAAGACAGCATGGCAAAAAAAATAATTTCACATGGAGTTTAGTGCCATTACTATCTTTAAACCGAGTAGGCCTAAGCTTTTCAACAATAATTTTGTCAGTTACTTTCTATATAGGTGCAAATTATGTACTCTTGTTTGTCTGTCCATATACTTGACTGTATTTGCAAAATGAAACAATTTGAGAATCATGGTTTCACTACCGGTGTGGTACGGTAGCCCCGGCTTCTTCTAGAACTTCAGCCACGAAGATGTTACACTTGTTTGTATTCCTCCCGGTCCGGTGGGACGAGACAAAGGACCACACTGTGCTTCCCGTGTACCCTCGAGCAACTTGGGCAATCGTTGAACCCGTCACTGCTTCGGCCCCGTGCTGCTGAAAAGAAAAATCAAATGGAGTTGCTGAAATCACAAATAAAGTCACTGAAAGTGTCCCTAAATTCAGTAGGCACGGATGTCCTTTTTTTCCTGCGGGTACTAGTCGTTTTGCAGTAGAAGTGTACGTAGATGGAGTCCACATGTATGTACAGTATATAGGATAACCCTCGGCCAGAATACACCTGACATAGACATCTAGTTCCAACTTTTAAGTCGTTTTCTGCTTCATCATGCCAACGAATGCGGGCACTGTTATCACTTCAGGCACATACAGTATACTCCAGGAATATTAGTACATGTACAAAATAAAGAACCAAAATGTTGCCTATTGAAAGTTTTGTATCAAATATTCGCTGGACCAAAATGTTACTCGGTACTTTGTATCTAATTTTCGCAGGACCCGGAGGGCTTTCATAGCCCTCTTCGAACCTGAGTCACTGACTGACTACTGACCGACTGGCTACCAATCTCACTCACTGAGTCTCACTTGTGAAATATATAGGGGGGTACCTATCTCATCAAATGTCACTTGTAGATTAGACCAGTTACCTTATCTCACTGACCAACGGTCATTATGTGAATTAGACTGGCGCTGCCTAAGGTTCATGTAATTTCATGGTACCAGCGTAGGTAATAAGTCGAGTCTCCATGCTCAAGGCGTGGCTGAATCCATAAACTTTTTAGCTATTTTGAATCGACTGAATACAATTTTGGGAGCTCTAGGCGAGGACCAGCTTGAGAGTAAAGTATTTATCTTTTGTGCATTTTTTTTGGCGTTTGAGGCAACAAAAGTGCTCAAAATCTAAAGAAGAGTGCTTCACAACTAACCTGATGGAAGTTTTAGCTCAGTAAACGCTGTACCGGTATACTCTGAGAAAACAATATTCTAGGATCTCGATTTCAATTCAAAAGTTGCCGAGTCATGTATTGAATTGCGCCCGAAATCAGCGAACGGGAAACGTTCTCATTCAGCCGATTGCAGCTATACGCGATGTCACGCACAACCGCGGCGCCGCCTGTGCGTCTTGTCAACGCTTGCGCGCACCCTTTCATGGCTTCGCCAAATTGAAAACGAACTACTAACATTGCGTCCAAAATGCGTCTTTTAAACGCATGTTTGGAAATGACCTCCTGTTATTGTTTTCTTCAAAATGGCAGCATGCCATAGTGTCTTTACTATCTTTAAACCAAGTATGCCATTCAGCAATAATTTCGTCAGTTACCTTTTGGATACCTGCAAATACTCTACCTTTGACTGTAATGTTATGATTTTTTTTTTCAGACCGAGTCCGGGTCGTGAAAATATTAAAGGAAGATGGAGAGAGGGACATCACTTGATGCTTGGGGTGCTGCTCAAAATACATACATGTAATTATATTTATACGTTTGATTTGTTTTGCATTTGTAACAAAATCGAGTTTTGTTTTCCACTTTGCAACGTAGGTTTTTGCGGATTTACTCACTGAGGAAAATTGCTTTTCTGGGCAGATTTTACAACATTTTTGTTTCTTTTGTTCACGGAAACGTCTTTGTTGAACTCAATCGTTCATCTGTTGCTGAAAAAGAAGCTCGATTTTGCATTTTTGTGCTTAGTTTATGGGAGAGTCTTTTTACAGGGACAACTGGAAAGACAATGGCTTGTCCTCGGGAGGTATGTAAAACATGGCAGTGTGAACGCATGACTGTTTGGCATGCTAAACTATTCTTAATAGTATTTTCATTGAGTGCACTGGGATATTTACCATCATCAGGGCACTCGACTTAACATTGCAAAACAACACAGTATGAATGTGAATGCAAACGGGAAACTGCGTGGGGGGAAATGCAGGCTGTGTGGACTGTATTTCAATAGGCCCACTGCATGTCAACCAGAAACAAGTTCCACTACCTTTTTGTTGTTTCCGGTTAAAAAGAGAGATTCTAGAGCTGTTTTGTGAAACCTTAAGGTGAACGTTTCTGGCATAACTTCCTCGAATTTTATACATATCCAACTGCATGGTTGATTGACCATCAACAAACTAAATAGGAGAACCTTGGACAATAGAGTACGCGACGCCTTACTGTACAAATGATATGTGTACATAACAACGCTGTGTAGACATCTGTACATTGTACTCGGACATTCATATCTGCAATGTTAGTCTACTATCGAGACTCGGTTATTTTATAGATCATTTTCACCGCAGCCACGTTCGAGGTGTATGATTATGTTTATAGTTTTTTTCAACGAAAAAGTGCAGTAACATAAGGATACAGCTTAATTTGTCATTTGCATTTCGCTAAGATTCCAATTGAAATCGTCATAATGAAATCATTTTATTTGATTACCTATAATGGTGATTTATTAACCAGTTTTCTCCCCGATATATCATGTCCTTTTATTACTGATTTTTAGTTGTGCTTTGGTCACCACATACAGCTTGTAGTGGCACCAGAGTAAAAAGAATTGGATCATATGTGAACTAGACCCCCAAAATTTTTACACGTTTTCTATGCTTTCTTTTAAATAATATTCAGTAACAACTGATCGAGCTAAAAACACGTTAGTTAACGGACCCCACTTAAAGGCATAGGATCATTAATACATTTGCATTTATCCCAAAAGTAATCGCCACCGGTGTTTGTCAAACATCTTACTTGCATTAAAAAGATCGTACTGAATACTACACACCCCGTTAAATTATGCCGTCTGGCTTGATGTCATTTAGAAGACAAAGTGAAGAAATAATCAAAGTGATCAAGAAATAAAATGACGAGTGAAACTTACGAAGTAAAAGGCCCCAAGCAGAACCAGCAACACCGCCGATGTGAATTTCATGGTGCTGAGTTCGGAGTTTCACCTTGATGACTCGACCGATTGAAATAAACTGATGTTCAGTTGCAAGTTCGCCCCTACTTTTTATCGAAAGCCGATGGTGACATCAATGGACCGATCCAGTAAGCACCGCCCATGGTATATTCTGACAAATCACAGCCGTGATTTATGTCCGACGTGCGTGCACAAACGTCCGACATGCGTGCACGCGCGTATGATGCGCGCGGCAGGAAAATGCAGTGTGGCATTGGAGAGAGGGGCACGTGTTAATTTGTCCACGTGCGCAGTGGGCGGGGCTTACTGGATCGGTCCATTTCCGTGAGCTCTCAATGGGCGTATTTTGTTTAGTCGGTGATCCGGAGTCATCACGTGTGCATGGAATTGAATGTATGCAAATTGGGCATCGGGACATTTCCCCCATTTTAGATTTGTTTTTCTTTGGCAGCCAAAATATGTGTAGCCCACTATTCTTTTAAAAATACTCAGAGCGCTCACAGGTATTTCAGCTGCACAGAAAAATGATGATCAACATGTCATCTTTCATTTTCTTTTCATTTTTTGGTAGGTTGACCATTGACTTTTCGAGATATTCTCACCCAAAGAAGACGCGACCCATTTTCCCCAAAGCGGAAAAGTAGCCATCTTGAAAAACGATCCCTCCACAACATGGCGAAAAAGCGCAACTTTCGAGCCCAATAGCATCCAAAATGCTCAGAATTGGAAGCCCCAAGTCCGGGCCAGAGGTTCATTGCCATATCTCTTCAATTCCCTAATTTCATAGCTCTCATAACTCTCTAATATAGAATATTTTCAGGGTACAACTTTTATTCTTGGGCTCGGCGAAAAGATTAAGACCTATTTACCGGTGTGCACGAGTATATTTTTTTGGATCATCGATGTTCACTTTTACGCCGGGTAGTTAAGTGATACCGCCCTCATTCATTGCGATTGTGTTAGACAAGCCGTCTGGCTTGCTACTTCTCCCTAGCCTTTGGTGTTGAAGTCATTTAGAGACTCAATTAGGCCCTTAAACAACGGAACCCAGATTGGCATTAACATTGCTCTTGGTTCAAGACCTTTATACCAGAGAAATGACACATGTTTAATTGTTTATAATATCTGAAATTCGTAATTCGAACTCATTTTGTGACGCGAGCTGCATATATTTTTAGTATTGTCATCGAAAGAGGGCGCAGTTTTACTCGGCGACCGCTTGTTGATCAAGTCCAAAATGGAAAAGAGGTACGATCAACCTAGTATTGGACCATTTGCGTGTGCAAAAAATTTAAACAGGAATGCAAATGAGGAATGGTTGGGTGCCTTCGTGTGTGTTACAATAGCGTTTGTTTTTGTATGCGGTGTCTGAGGCAAACAGCATCAATTCGTCACGCCGTGGAAGTTAAAATGTTAATCTGGCCCGCAAATATGCAGTATCACACAAGGGCGGATCGGGGGGGGGGCAAAGGGGGCCATGCCCCCCCCAAAAAAAAAAAAACGAAACCAATTTTTTTTTTATGTGACATCGCAATAAAGGCAGGCAATGAGTACACCACCATCTTTTCCTCAAAAAAACATTGGTTTAAGTGGTCAGAAATTGCCTCAGATCGCACCACAGAGCATCTAGAATCCAAAAAAAAAATTTGACCCACTTTTTTGGGGGACCAAAATTTTTTTGGGCCCCCCAAAAAATTGTGTTCTGGATCCGCCCTTGGTATCACATTAGATATTAATATGAGCAAACTAGACAGGAAAGGAGTATTTTTAAGAAGGCATGGACGTTATAATTACAATGATCGTGAAAAAAACGTAATCCACATTCGAAATGACAACACCAACTACACGATATAAATCCATTACTAGCAAATTGCGGTATCAAATCCGGATACATCCGGGTTTTTTTCGAGAATAATTTTACCGGTACAACCCTGTTATCGGGCCTATAATGTATTACGTAACATGCACAACACGTCTTTAAGAGAAAAAATGAATCTCATTAATACGTTCGTAAGACATAGGTTGGTAACAACCATTTATTTGATATTGGACAAAGAAATATCACACCCACTTCAGGATAATCAAACTGAAGAAACAGTGAGAGTTATGCAATGGTGCAATGTCTTACAGTCCCGGTGGCCCCCAACCCCATTGTTCATCAGATTCCTCACTTGTTTTTGCAGGATGCTAGACCAGAATTCGTCGGGGTATAGATAAGGGAAATTGGGGTTGGGGTCATTGAAGTTAGACAAATTGTGTGCACAACCCTATCAGCATGTCCCTTTAAGGTACCATTCCCCGTAATTATTATTTCCCTTTAAAATAAAATTATTTCAGGCTTGTTTTAGCCCAAAGAACAGATTCATTCTGCTTGTTCCTGACATTAACTCAATTTCATGCTCGGAAGGTTTCACATTATTAAAATTCAAGACAGACTTCTCCTATCCTACTTGAAGACACATTTTCCGAACTAGGATTATTTGCTTGCAACACCGCAGCAGTCCGGCCACGGGCTGTTTTCATCGGGAAGTGATACTCGATGTAAGCTCCGCTGCCTGGAGTCGGCCTTACCGAAATAACCCAAGCAGGGGTTTGGGGAACGAATACTGATGCGGTTTCAAGACGGCGTTTGAATCCCAAATCCGGTATTAAAAATTAAAAACAAAAATATGAAATTTTTTTGAAGCCTATGCAATGATTATTATTTTGTCATAAATCTTTTGGGCAATGGTAAAACTAAACATTCTAGTTTGGAAGGTGCACACAGTGCAGCTCGGAAACATGAACAAACAACGAAGCAAGACAGGCAAGCCCAATAGTAAAGCTGTCACAGAGCGCACAAAATTCCACTCAATTGATTAAGGAATGCCTAATCACTGGAAGATTTTTCTCGCATCTGGTCTTTACAAAATGGGCAGGATTTAGCCCATGCATTTGCGTTATGGGGTCATCCTATACGATAACACTGCCCGATTCACTTAACCAGCCTACAACCAGTCGAAGCCACAAGTGACAGTCAGTCAGTCAGTCAGTCACGGTCAGTTGGATAGGTACAAAGTGGACTGTAAGCTGGCCCTCTGAGCCCAACCAAAATGAAGAAATGTACACTTTAAGAGGTTGAAGGAAAACCCCGCATGAATAAACTAGGGAAACCCATGGACTCAGGTAGGGACTTAAACCCAATCTTGACATGTTGACCCCTGGTAGGATTCGACCCGGGTCATAGAGTTACTACTAGTACCGCTATGCAAAGTGACGCCTTCAGATTGGTCGCTTGTCATTGTCACTCGCACTTCGAAATGCCCCGACGAAAATTTCTGTCATCCGGCTAACTTTGTAATCCCCTTCCGATCGGATTCTGGATCTACCAGTGGTTATCACGTCAATTTCTTCAATCTAAGGATGTCACCATCACTGGAGTACCTTTTTATCCAGACGACGATATCTTTTTTTATACGATGACTCCTCATGTGATGAAATATACGAGCAATACCAGCTTCATTGGTAAATCCCCCGTCTCCTTCTCCTTCAACATATCGATTCGATCATTATTTAGCTTTGGGAGAAGGTAATGTTTAACCACCCTCGGGGCTTGGTTTAGCAGGGGAGCATCTAATCACTGTCTTCGAGATTCCGAATTGAATTCGAGTGTACGAGATTTTAGTGGAAATAGTGCTTTGCGTTTGTCTCTCATATTTTGTCCAATATATAGCAACGCTTATCAGCAATATTGTAGTAAGAAATCCTTCTGGAAAGGCTCCACTCTTACTCTTCGCCAACAGAACATGTACCAAGCCATGGCAACGCTATCAGTTACGCTTCCTTAAAGATCGGGGCCACCAGGTTTTATTTCAATTTCTGAACATTTCGGCGCAGTGCATGCAGCGACACTAATTGTCAACACAATTCCAGCAATTAGTAATTTGGTTCGCGACTGCGCATGACTCGCAAATGATGACAAACATGGTTTGCGTCTAATATACTGTTGTTTAATATTTCCTTCAATTTCATTTTTGTTATTAGTAAAGGTTAGTTGGGTGTTGCATCACGTCTTGCCGACGACCATCAAGATTACTCAAATTAAATCACTTCGTCACTGATTGGATTTCAGACCGGAGCTTGTTAGATCCCACATCGAATTAAGTGTAGGGGAGGTTGAGGCGTGGAAGACGGTTTATCCGTTTGTAGCTTCACCGTATTGTTTTCTGATACGTGTGTTGAGGTATTTTTCTTGGATGTAACAGTTTAGCCCACAAAAAGATGCTGGAAGCGAGATGTCTCACAGAGGATATTCCACATCAATTTTGAAAACAAAATAGCCATCTCATTGGGAAGATATGTAACATCAGATCTACATTTTGAATTTGCGGTGGTCGTTATTTTGAAGAGCAGTACGTGACTGAAGAAACCTGGCGAAGAAAGTAGATGTTTTCCTCCGAAATGATAGGAAGAAATCATCCTGAATAAAACCTTGATATGTCACCTCATAACCCCAGCCGTGTCAGCTGGTACCGAGACGTTGCTGCGTCTATTGTTAAAATAACAGCACGTGAACTCAATGAGCCTTATAACCACCTCCCCCATCAAAGTCTCTAGCCACGCATATTATACTTTTCATATCCAGCAGGTGATATTCAATTTGTATTCTAAACTCTAGTACAATTTAGAATTTTATACCACCCACATTGGATCTACACTGATCCATATTGGCGCTCTATATACGCGGTATCTCATCAATTTAATGCCATACCTAACCAGTATTAAATTCTGCTGAATTATGCATTTCTTATGATCCTAGTCACCCCATTCCGAGAGGTATATCGATGAATCTTCAGGCAGATGTTTTAACTTCAGATGTTGTCCGTGCCTGCAGTCAATTGCATATGATCCTGGGCAGAGTAAAAACTTGCATGAAATGCATATCAAGTTAGAACCGTATGATAAACACCCTGTAGCCTTCCACGCGTGTATCTTGTGGTGTCTCCAGCACGATTCTTAAATCGTTCAATATGTTATGGATTGATGGCATAGAAGAGACAGCTCATTATACGAAATAGATATCAGTAAGATACGGGAACGACCACCTACCTAAACCTTTACCTTACCTTTACCTTTTTCATGAAAATGC